AAAAGTAGTTAGATACTGAAAAGAGTACTCCATTGGACAATGTTCTATGAAATCTGCAAGCGCGTTTCAAGAATAATGGTGAAATATTCCACTTAAGAGAGAGAGAGAGAGAGAGAGAGAAAGAGAGATTGCTGCGAGAAGCCATTTGCAATCGAATGTAATTTGATTTGCGAGAGAGGAAAAAGGTAAGACACGCGCGTCTTCTCTTTGCGCGAACACAGGCAAGAGGATTCGTAATCGCGTTTTGAAACCGCCTTGGTGACGATTTCAGAGAGTTCCGCCGAGTTATTACTTCTTCTAATCTGTTCGCGCGGAATTACTCATCAATATCGGAACGTCGAACGGCGGCGACTCTTGCAGGTTTCGCGTTACGTTGCTTTTTGAAGAAAAAAAAGAGAGAGAAAGAGAGAGGGAAAAATTCGCGTTATGTAAAAATAAATATAAATACGCGACTACTCTCTCCGAGTTCTCTTCTGAGAACGTCCGTTTTACGGATTGCTTTTGTTTCACCGTCAGTTAGCTTTAATTAATCTTGAAGAAGAAGAAAAACAACGCGCAGAAATACGATGGACCATAGGTATTTGTTGAGACGAGAAGTTTTCGCGCGAATGTGCTCGCAAAAAGTCAACAGGGAGTCTCTCGAGTGTAAAATTTATCGTCGGTATGTGTGTGCATGTATAAAACTCGTAAACACGTTGCGCGGTTTTGCCGACGAACATACGTTGCAAATAAGGAGGCGTTTGCGTAATAGTCCTTCCGGAACGAGCTCTTGCGGAAGAGCGGGTCGCGCCCGCTCTACCTTCATCTTCGCGAAATTACCTGCGTGCATTACGGAGGATTTACTAGCGATAATACAAAGAATCTCGGCACGTGAACCGAGAATAAACAACAACTCACGCACAAAACACGGAAAGACTATTTTAATGGGTGTAATGTCCCCATGACGTTGGTCTCCCCTCAGAAGGGATTCGGGGAAATGGAACGAAATCCGAAAGTGCGGGCCGTCGGCCCGTGAGAACCACTTTACCGATGTGCTGCTCATCGAGAGGATGGTAGTGTATAGGTAGACAGTGGGGTAAAAGAGAGAGGCTTTGCCTTTCACACATCGCGCCACGTAAAGACGGAGGGCTCTTATAAAGAACGGAATTGCTTTCTCGAGAAACATGCTCCGCTTCCGTGGCAAAAGAAGAACGTACCTACGAGTGGAGCTTGAATTACTTTTAGCTCCGGATATATTCCTTAGAGGGATGATTTCTCTCGCGCGAGGGGAAACTTCCGTCTCTCCGTTTAAATTCACGAGTATGGAATAGCGACGTGAGACACATTCCTTTCTCTCTGCCAACCACTTTTTTTTCGAGAGAAAGCGATTTTTAAAACCGTTTTATGTGTAAAAAAAAAAAAAAAACACGGTTGTTCCATTGTGCGCTTTTTTCGGAGGATTTTCCGAGGTCAATTTGTCAATTTGCGACGTGCGCGATAATCGCGCGAGAATTTTGACGTATATCTACCACAGTTTGACTTTTACTCATTTAACTACCATTTCGTCGCACGCGTAATCGAAACTTTTGACAGCCGAGTTTGACGTAACGATATTTGATATATGAAATGTTTCATTAAATTCCCATTTGTAACGTGATAAAAATTATATACTTCAAATTAAATAATAATTTTCGCGCGATAGATAATTCACATAGCTATTAGATGTATACTGTGTGCTCCGTATCTTACCCAAGACAGGTTGATGAAGTATTGAATTACATTATGAGAGTAAACGTCACTTATGAAGGCAGCTCGTTAAAGATGTATAAAATTTATTGCATCTTGCTGGAAATACTCGACGGGCATAAAAATGTTTGGACACGTGGCAGGACTTCTGAGTGTATTGAAAATGTTTGAACACGTGGCAGGACTTGTAAGCGTATTGAAAATGTAAGGAAAAGATAAAATGATAGTCCGCGTTCTATCCAAGAGCCGCGAACTTTTATAAGATGCACAAGTCATTGATATGAAGAAAAAGATACTGCGAAAAAATATATAAATCGAAATATAAAAATATGAAGTTTCCTTTTCTACACAAAGCTTTTCTTACGTACAATTTTATTACACAAAAGATTATTGTGTAAAAAAAAAAGAATTCAAAAATTAGAAATTTTCTTTCCTATTCAATTTACACTTTAATAAATAACGAAATTGTTTCAACAGCGTCTCCGTCCAGGAATAAAAATATAGTATTTTGTGTTTAAAAATAAAATCGATTTTAATATTTTATAAATAGCATCCACTTGTGCTTCAACTGTTGAGTCAATTTTCAATTACTATTTTTATATTTCTAACAAAACAAAGAGACCATGTAAGGCCACCGTTGTTACATGAGCTGAAAATAAATTATTGAATAAAAAAATTATATATTTATCAATAAATTCATACAGGTATATAATACGTTATTACGGTTGCGGTTTCTCTCCTTCTCTTCTCACTATCTCGCTTAGCTCCTTATCTTCTCCTCTGATTGCGCTTTTCTCCTCATTTTCACACATTGAATTTTCGAGGAGAGCAGTAATTACTCTCGCTCATGTTGTTTGTCTTGTCTGTTTTAAATGACGTGTGTAACGGCTAAACCACGCAAGGTTCAATATTCTGGCGAGTTCCTTGCGAAAATATTATACTTTTTAAACTAAATATATCTTTGACTAAATATACTTTTTTAAAACTAATTTTAACTCTTGAGTATAATTTTTGTAAATATTGTTTTTTATACATATACAATATAATTAATTTTAACTACAAGCCAAAAAATTATTTTATATTGTGTGCGTGTGTATTTCTGACTTTTATAGTATAATTTAATTCTATCGGCAAATAAATTATCTTAAAGTGCATTTTCACAATGATTAAAAAAGCGCCTACACGATAGCTTAGCTGATACGTTATTGTGACAAATAGCCATAGCATGCTCAAGGTCAGTACAACACACTTAGATAAAAACACATATTTTTACTCTTTCAGAGATGTTATTCCGTACTTTGTTATTTTGTTTGCGCAGACCGATGATAAAAAAAAAAAAAAAAAAAAAATAAATAAAGATTGAAACGTCTCACTAAACAGACATATTCAATAGTTTATTCTCAACTCCCCACACAACAGTGGCTTTACATGCTTTTTACATGGTCTCTTTGTTTGCTTGATCTTATCACTTAAAAAAAGCAATATATTTCTGCTACTTTATTTCTGTCGCTTTATTTCTTTTCAACGAAGTATAATGCGAAAAAATTTTGAATATTATATTTTTCTACACATTTGAGTTTTTCTTCCATCGCCTTTTTCTAATATCGCCAATAATGAGGGATATTCCAAGGGAAGAAGAATAAGAAAAATATCCTACGTTGATATACTACAAATACCAAGTATAGATTAAAGTGAGACTTTATTTTATTATTCATAGAGAAAGAGAGAAAATTTATCCAATGAATTTGTAATTTCCCTTAAGACCGTTTAAGACAAACGCTGCAATGGGACAACAAAAGTCAAAAATTAATTAATAATCAACAAGCGAATAGATGACAAACAAGACATCTAAGATAGTATAACTCTCTTTTACGACACACTATTTTTGTTGTAAACTAAAATTAACTAAAATAAAATACGTGTACGTGTGTGCGCACACATAAACGCAAAATTTAACAATGTTTTTATCGTTGTACGAAAATATATAACAATATCCCGAGACGAGCACAACATAATAATACGTTATTTGTTACGTCATGTAACACGGCGTGCATTATTTGTTTGTCTCCAATGAGCTCTGTTTCTATTCATTTTGATGATTCGCCAGAGGATATTTTAACACATAAATTGCAAGCAAGGTATCATTCGTGCCATCCAAATGAAATTGTGTTTCACTCATAAGCATGCACAGTTTCCTCGTAGTTTCATAAAAACGAACAAATCTATGCTCGCGCGCGCGCGGATAACATTATATCGTTATAATAAATAAAACAATATGTGCGAAGCGCAATAATGTTACAATAATTATCCGTTTCTCCGGATCGCGTTTTGCATAGATCGAGTCAATAAAAATCTCTATTATTTGAGCGAGAATTTGAGAAGAACGAGCAAACGGGGAGAGATTCTTCGGTGCATTTTGTTTGTCCATTTGATTAAGGATGGGAAAACCACGATGTGTCCGCGTTATACGCGTGCTCGCGTTACGTGCGCGGCATCGGTAAGTCTTCTCTCTCGTTCTACTTTTGAAATATTAATTTATATGATACCCGTTGCGCGCAAACACAAAGTCTGAAGTTGAACTTATGATTCACGACATCAATATCAACGATATCGAAAGGTTTTCTGCTTTGAAAATGGTTTCCTTGGAAACCGCATGAATCCCACGAAGTGAGATATGGGGATATCAGAAACACCGTTACTTACACTTTCCGCGTTACGTTATTTTGTCCCCATGCACTACGTCACGTTTTTTTTTTTTTCTGTTTGCGCTTTTCTTCGTTATTTCCGTAGTTCATATTGTTCTCGGAATTACAGCAAACAGTTTCCTAACTTCTTCAGAAACAAGAGGAGTGAACTCTTTTCTTTGTTATAAACTAACAAAATGATCTATATAGTTTTACGTAGGTATACGCTATAAATAAATTGCATAGCAAAGCAAGTTATAAATGTAAAAAAAAAAAAAAACATACGATAATATCACAAAAACAATATTTATAAAGAGTAAATTTATTTTATCGCTTGGAAGGAAAAATGATTACACGCATTCCGTTTCATAAAGCAAAATAAATATGTACATGTGTACATGACGTTACTTTTGAAGAACATTAAAAAGTGTGTTAATGAGGCATGTCCGGAATAACATTCGTGCTATACCCCTCATCAATAATCCGTATTTCTCTTTCTCTTTCTTTCTTTCTCTCTCTCTCTCTCTCTCTCTCTCTCTTTCTCACTCTCTCTCACACTCTTTTTACATCTATATATTTTTTCCAACTTACCGGGCGCTCGATAACGGAGTACATTATCCGGCCGATTATCCGACGAGCGCAAATAAAGCGTTAGCAAGACGAAAAAGTACAAACGAAACAAACTAAACACACAAAACGTTCGTTCGTTCGCGCCCGCGGCGCGACAGAAAGAAACAGTCGAGTGTCCGCAAAAGTTTTCTCAAGTTTTGTGCAATGTATAGCGAAAAAGACACGCACGTTTACCTCACAAGGTGCGCGAAAAATCGATAGCAATAACGCGCGGGAAAAGCGGAGTACAAATGACAAGAAAAGAAAAGTAATAGAAAAGAAAAAAAAACCAGAAGGCCAACGACGTGCGAACACGAAAGTCAACCCAAGGCGATGTGGCACGCACGTATACGCACCAAGTGTCCGCCACGACACACGTGCAAGGTGCTGTCGAAGCACGTCCTCGCGCCACAGAGGCCCGCGCAGCACTGACTCTTTCTACTGGCCGTCCTCTCTGCCGTAGCTCTCGCCGATACGCTGCGAGAGACAGAGAGAGAGAGAGGAGAGATCGGAGCAAAGAGATGTGTGCGCACCTCTATATACACCCACGAGCGGAATGAACTGAAAATTAGGACTGGTACGGATTAATAAATACTCAATGAGCCGAAAAACGAATAGAATGCGGATATAATGCCGTGTCATTTGCAATAAGACGGCAGTAACAAACCTCACTATAAGTATATTGTTGCCAAGAAAAACTCCGAGTTTTTCTACGACGATCAGAATAATTGTTCTAAGTATATAAGGCCAATAAGAATAATTGTTGTATATACTTTTTTTTTGTAAATTCAATTCTTTCAACAACAAAAAAGAAGAGTTTCGCGCAACAAGGCGAAATTTTGGTTTATCGATTCGTTTGAGCGCGGTAGAATTTCTCGTTAACTGAGAGAGAGAGAGAGAGAGAGTCGTTGTGGCTAGGAAACTCTAAACAATCGGTCGTAATCAAAAAGCGATGTCCACGATTAACGAGCGACTTCCGTCGCGCTCCCATAATTACTGATCGCTTTCATTGGCGGCCACGTTCGAGGACAACGTGCCCCAAGATCGATCGATCGATTATCCGTAATCAAATAAGTTACACTCGAACAGAATTTCGAAAGGTCAGACGAAGCTCTCTGTTCGCTCTTGCTCGCTCCGCCACGGCCACCCTCATGCCTGATTCAAGGAATCTCTTTACTTGCTCACTTGCTCGGCAAAGCTTCCGCAAAGGCATCGGATCTGAAGCTAATGAAGGGATACATTCTCAAGCTCGGTTCGTGAAACGAAATGATGATAAGATTACAAATTAACATGCAAAAGAATAATACAAACAGATTTTCGTTACTCCATTTAATTTAATCAAACTTTACTTAAAGGATATTCATTGCGTTATGTGAGAATACAATATCCTCTTACATGTGTTGAACACGTGTTGCCACGCAATTTGTTACATTCGCGCCCATCTGCTTGTCGAACGAGAGATGGTTCGTCGAGTGCCAAGGACCTAATTTATGCGGAACGAGAGATTAGTGTCTCACTTCGAAGCGAGTCTGCGATACGATGATCTATTTTCATCTTTTTGCAGAGGATAAATTGTTGAAAGCATTCGATACGCAGATTCTACTTCAGCGAGAAGAACGAATCGTCCTATTTGTCTTGTTTCGCGCGTGTATAAAAAAACAAAAATCTGTCACTGTTTTGACCTTTGACAACGAATAGTTAACCTCAAGCGCACTCGACACACGTATTGCAAACGCGCGGCGCGTGCAAGTATCGGCACTGTAACAATATCTGCGAGGTGTAAAATATACACAATAGAGAGTGAGATATTTAAAACTTATTTAGCTTCAATTTGAAACATTTTAATTTGTGTAAATTTACATCGAACAAAATATCACCCATATATCATCAACATTCGTGTTAGCTTCTTCTTTCTCTCTCTTTCTCTTCTCTCTTCTTTCATTTTAAAAACTTAATTTATTTATTTGTTATATTTTATTTGATTGATCATTTATTCTATTTTACCAAAATGTGTTACTTTTAGCGGAGAGAAATTGATTTGAATAATACTTCAGCAGGTAAAAAGCGCGCAGATTAAAATTTAGATCGAGATAAAAGTAATTATCGCATTTTTCTGGAGATTAAGACGTAAAGAACAACGTTTGATTGCAATTTTACATTTGCTCATATCTCGGAGTGTCTTGAAATAAGAGTTCATTTATTGTCTTTCTGGCTGAAATAATCTTTATTCTCTCGAGTGTGTTGTTAACACAATGCTCGCAAATCACATTGTAAATGAGTATTGTAAATTATTCCCAAGTGAGCGTGTCGCAATAATCAGAGATTACGTATTGTTTGTTTTAATCAAAATAACGTGCAAAACCCACGGTCGACGTGACAAAATGTGAAGAACGCGCTTGCTGAAATATCGATCCCACGTGTTCGGCACGGTTTTACAAAATTTATATTACACTTTGTGTAATGATAAAAATTTATACACGATACAAAGTTATGAAAGGTATCTCACACGTTCAGGAGGAGAGAACAAATTTCCAACGTTAGGTTATTCCCTGTTGGGACTAAGCCTGATGAATTGGGAAATATTTCTTTTCTCTTGTGCAATATTGCAATGCCTACAATATTAAGCAAACATTATATTGCATGTTATATTTACATCGAGATAATTCAAGTCACCGAATATAAAATGTTTTTGTAAAATTTTCTTTGTGTATATTGGTTTTTTTCAAACGTTCAAAACTCATTTGTGGACACTTTACGCGAGTTCTTATCGTCGCTTGAGAAACTTTCATTGTTTACTGCCATTTTGTTTCTTGCATGTCTGACTTTCATTAACTATTCTTTGATTATGCAAAAAAGAAAAAACAAAAGACCGTTCAGTGTGATATAGCTTATTATATATTAAATACCGTATCGCCGTGGCGAACGAGAAAACACCGTCACACGCGATATCACACGTTAGACGCTAACGTTTTATTCTGGGATCTATTCTACGGGGAATTCCAAGGCTTATTTTTGAATGGACGAAAATCGTTCGTCACTTTGAGCAAATCTAATAAATATTCCATCTATATATATATATATATATATATATATTTCACGCGCGTTTCTTATCCTGGAGGAGATTTCTCCTCCAAATTTCTCTTCTCCTCTCTTGTCTTTTTCTCCACCCCTTTCTTCCTCTCTGCTACACAAGTTTCCCTATGTAACTCGATATTTACGGTTCGTGATGTTAAAGTGTTACACAGAGCACGACCCAATTTATCGCGAATCCGGTATAACGACTTCGTTTTCGACCGGGTCTTCGTGTGCTACACTCCGCAGACAATCTCGTTAAGCCGCCGCCGTCGTCGTCGTCGTCGTCGTCTACAACGACACAGCAATGGAAAAACTAATCATCCGCCACAAAGACTCAAAGTTAATGGAGTGTCCAGGAAGACTCGCAGATTTTTTAAAATTCATGACACGTCTTAGCGTGTGATGGTCTAACGAGATTACCTCGCGCTATATATTTACATATTGATCTCCATCGCGTCTCTTATCTATAGACTGTTTGATCGACTTGCTGTCAATTTTCTATTAAACATTGTAAGTGTACCGATAATTTCCGACTAAAAGGAATCATAAAAAAAAATTCGGGTTTTATGTCTTCTGACTTTATGTTCTCGTGGAAAATTTCTATAGAGAATATATAAACTTCAAAATTTATTCAGAAGCAAGTGTAAAATTTACTCGTTACTTTGCAAGAAGATTCATAAGAGATAAAATTTATTCATCAACTGTAACTATGATTATTAACTTGTTAACGATTCTACTATTTCGTAATAATTCGAGAATTTCAAATAATTTAATATGTATATCTCTCTTTTGTGTGTATAAAGTAAGAAGAAATCAGAGATTTGAGAGAAACAGAGAAAAGTCGAGAAACTTTAGACATTTCAGATCGGACATTTGAAATATGATTTTTCTGCAAATATAATGTATATATTTAAATATCTATTTTATAAACAAAATTAGAATATATGACTTGGATGGTTTTTATTACTCATTTTCTATCTAAAAAATCTATGCGGCGACCGAACAAAACAGCCGATTCATCTGCTCTAGATGGATTTGCCGACGTTTCACCAGGTAGGCATCGACGGCCCTCCTCTCTGTGGGTCAATGCCTATCGACTCTATTTTTACCTTATTGAAAGACAAGGAAGGTTCTCTTCAAAGAGAGGATAGATAAAACCTTCTTTTAATTATCCAAGCAGAGAAAAGATACAAAATTCCTCATCTTTCCCGCATGTTCCATTTCTTCAGTTATTTTAGTTTGCTAGAAGATGTGTAAAAAATATGTCGGAGAAAACTACCCGGATGTTTGAGATCCGTGAGAAAACGCTTAGACCCGCTGATTTCTGCCGAGACGGAATCAGGTTGCAGTGAGCTGCCAACGATTTCCCAGAGTGCATCACGTCGCGCGATTCCGCGGTAAGAATTTGTTGTCGACTACTTCTGAGAGAGAGAAGAGAGAGAGAGAAAAAAGGTAAAGAGCACAGAGAGAAGGAGAGACGGTGAGGGTTAAGATCCAACGAGGCGAATGCCTCGAGTGCTCGCTGATGCAGCAGCGATCGGGACTGTGCAACCGACAAGATGACGGGGATATCCGCGCAGGGCCAACAACGCGAGCGCATGTCGCCAGAATTTTTCCTGGACATGAGCGCGAGGAACGAGCTTTCCGCGTCGTCCGCCCGCTGCCAAGAAGATCTATTTACGGCAACGTCACCATGCTTTTGGACGTCCAAGGCCAGTGGCTAACAACTCTCTTATTTATCTTTCATTCCCCTTCATTACCCTTAAAGCGATCGATCGACTTTTGTGCGCAATAGTATTGTATTTCTTTCTTCTGATTTTTTGAAATACTAGTATTACATAGACGTATCCTGCGCGGTTTACAGTAATGTTTTTTTTTTTTTTTTTTTTTGATGTTTGGATTAAGGAAAAAATGAAACTTACCAGATAAAGAAGTTTTTGTAAAAAAGTTTGAAATTTTTTTAAACGACAATCGTGGGAAGTTAAATTAATTTTCAAATGTTCGCGCACGATTTTAGTACGATTTTAGAAGTAGTGTTTACACAAATTAGGTCTCATTATAAAATTTAGTCTCTCGTTATTTCAACATCGTGACTTCGAGCTTCGCTTAATTAGCGTTTTAATAACGATCAAAGTATTGAAAGTTTATGGACAATTGCCAATTTCAAGAGCCAGTTTCTTGAGGATTTATTTTTACAATGACACCTGCGTTCCTCATAAATATTTCGAATTGCGGTTCGACGATTGCTTTGTGTAAATAGCGAGCGCTCTGATTTATCGACACCGCAATATTTGTTGTACAAGAAAGTTTGATCGCAAAGGAAGTATATCAGGAAGATATTAAAATTTATCAAAAATATAACAAGAAGATATTAAAATTTATCGAAAGTATAACAGAAAGATATTAAAATTTATTGATGAAATGATCAAGTAAGGCAACATATTTGAAAAAAAATGCGAGATTACGATGTACAAGTCAAAATTGGTGATAAATCAAGAAGACTTTTTTTTAGTGATAATAATTACGGACATCGGGAAATATCAAGGTACGAGATAGCACGTAGCTGGCCCAACGAGAATCTTCTTTTTTCCCTCTGATTACTTCTTTTTTTTTTTTTTTTTTTGCTGATCTCGCAAGACCTCGGCGCAGTCCTTTCAGCACCGGGATGTAGTATCGTGAGATTGGATGCAATCACCTCTGCTCGGATTCTGAGAGCTAATTTTGTATTCGCACGTAATTTTAGAGGGACGTAATACTTTTCAATGACGCACTTCTATTTCTATGTCGAGCATCGAAAGAAGTAAAATCCAAGTTTTCGAACTCTGGGCGTTTTTTTTTTCAATTGTACAATTGCAGCCGTGAATAACACACTTAACAGTTATACAAATTGAAAGCTCGCGCTCGAATCAATAACGCAACGATCTAACGTTAAAATCTCTCGACAAAGAGCAAATATTGAAAAAACTTTATTAAAAAAAAAAAAAAAAAAAAAAAATGTGTGTCTTCGAAAGACGAGAACAAAAGAATTTATTGAATATTTTATTCGTATTATTTGACGCGCATTTGAATGAATATCTCTAATAAAGTAGTTCGATAGTAGTTTAAGTGCGTATTTCTCTTCGCGCTATTCTTACCTTTTCTGTAATCGAGGAGCGCGTTCAATCGAGCAGGTTCGTTGGAGGAAGAAACGCAAGAAGCGGCACAACGTGTTACTCCCGTGGAGAAAATCGATCGCTGACTGTATATTTGTTTCTATACAATTAAGCTCTGTCTATACGATCGATGCCTGATACATTGGCGTACAATGAAGCTTCATGTGTCGCGCCAATTCTATAGGGAAAGTCATCGCGATAATAAATCGCAAGCCGGTCATTGCCGGAAAATTCGATCGACGCGACAGAATCTCTTTTTTTTTTTTTTTCTTTTAACGATATGCGCTATGCAAGGCAAGGAACGACAGGCGATACGGTCGGAAACTCGCGCAAAGTTTTAAACGGTGCAACCGTTCGCTCTCGACGTAAGATCGAACTCTTCGGGATGTAGACACTTCGCTCGTCATCGCGTTTATTAACGAAACACTCGGTGAATTCTTTCGAGCCGTGAGATGAAGAACGCGTTATCGCGCAAAAAATAATCTACGAGTTTGCCGGAGGATTCGGTGGTTGATACGATAGTGCACGAGAACGCTCTGCGGAAAATAGACGAATTAATAAAAGTCGATATAAAAAAAATCATATTTGGCGGACTTTGCTATTGTCGCTCAATTGATCTCAAGAGTGATTTATATTTTGTCTGTCTGTGTCAGTAGCGAAAGACTATTAAAGGCTCTGCTTATTTAAAAATAAATAAACAAAATTCTTTCGTGAAGTCTTTTCAATCAATGTTAATTCGTCAATTTTTCCACAATGTAAGTTAATGGCAAAATTGCAATTGGGGAAGGTGAGAAGACTAATCGAGAGTCAATACGACTCTCTTACGGTTCGGTGGGATCGCGATAAGCGCGATCGCCAAACTATCTACCAATTGGTCCTCCGAATTGTTCGTTAATGATTTGTACACGTATTGCAAATTATAGATTTACTCCACTGCTCATTTCAATTCTTTTCTTCTTCTCTCTCACGTGCTTTACACAGGCACGCACACGCATACGCTGCGCATGCAACGCACGCAATTCACAATTAACTTTTCTGTCATTTTCTTGTTTTTAAATATATATGTATATATATATATATATATCGTTTACATTTGTTCCTATGTCTTCTGATCTTTTCATTGCAAATTACTTCCCGTGTTCTCTCATTCTCTCTTTCTTTCTCGCTATCTTTCACTCGCTGTCTTTCACGCACTCGGTCTTTCTCTCTTTCTTTCTTTCTCTCTGGGAATTTTTGCGTTTAACGAATTGTGCACATATACACGTACAAGTAACATATACGACGGTCGTTGAGAACATTCATGTGTGTGATTGACTTCTGCTACAATTATACAGCTTATTTTAAAGTACAATTGTTCTGTTACAAATGGTTAACGTAAACGCCTGGTGATGTGAGTTTTTATATATCTCCACGTGATATATCACGTGGTGTGTATACAGAGCATTCTTTCTGTGTGTTTGGAGTGTACTGAAAGATTATTGTTTTTTTTTTTTTTTAAGTTTTTTATCTCGTTTTAACGTAGTTATTATTATTAATATTAGGCGTATATATATAGTACAGTTTTACACACCGTACAATACATACGTACAAGATTCCCGCGACAACCGGAAAAATCTACGGTTTTTCTTTTTACTTTACTCGCATAATTTAACATTTTCGGATTACATTGGTAGATTGAGTGTTCCTCTTTTTTTTTTGCCTGCACTGTCTGCACTCACATATTCTATTCGATTTCTGCTAATGGCACATTTTATTCGAGCGTTTTTTTACGCTCGTTATTTCCGTTCATATTTTTCTCTTCCGGATTTTCTCCGAAGTACACGAGGAATCCGACTAACAATTCGCTATATAACTTATAACGATCCACAATTTTGACAGCCAATTAAAACGATGATTTTACAATGAGTCAATGACGCCCGGTGTCGCGGGGCCGCGCGATCTCGTGCGTGCTCGTCGCGAAAAATCCGCGCACGGGTTATATAAGTTATTAACGCGTACATTACACCTCATTACAAGAGATTCAATGATACATAATAGATCTTGTTTTTATTATCTCAGTTATGTACAGAGGGCAGCTTGTCTATAGTATAGGTAGAGTTTTAACGCCGGATGACAACTGAAGTAATGTTAAGCGCGCCGGGACGCCGATACCCCTCGATAATTGACGCCAGATCGATGCTCACAGTTTTTCTCTGCGCGCTACTTTGAGTCGAATTTAGTTATCGTGTGCAGAGTGTTGTGTCATTTAAAGTCGATATAATTATATCGAACGATTTAATTTATTTAACATTACGTAACATAGCGACTCGCGTCTCACGGTTGTGTCATCTTGACGCTCTCCTCGAAGCTCGACCGAATGTTTATTTCTTCACGATTTTTTTTATCGAAAACATTTTTGTCTCCCAGTGATCTTCTTTGAAAAGTTTCGATCGACGAAGTATAATTAAGATATTAATTATTAATTAATTACATTACATAAAATATGCAATTTTTTTGCAACAAATCTTGTGTATTTTACATCAATTAACGCATATCTAACAAATGTCACTTTATTTCTCAGCGAGACGTAAAAGTATCTCCGATTGTTGAATAATAAAATCGTTGAAGAAAAAAATTTAAGTACAAATTTGTAAGTACTGACAATAAATTATAAACGCAACCCATGTGTCAACATTGCATTTTAACATCGCGCACATCTTCGCGAGATTTAATACGTTTTAATATGATTTAATCGATATATTCTGCACTTTCTTGTAGTTTTTGTTAAAATTATTGACGTTTATTGTCGGATTTTTCATCGGGGGCACGTGTTGTGCTTAACGTGTGATAGAGACGTTGAGATACTCTGGAAGTCACTCCCTTCGGTCGTGCGACGAATCTACAGTGCCAAACATCGAGTGAGCAACATCGTCCCTACTATTAACGATTCATCGTCATTAATTGTGATCAACTTCGAAACAACACGCATTTAATCTAATCTCCGTCTTCTTGCAATTTTCGCTAGTTCCTCTCCTTTTTTTTCTAAATAGAAATTAACCGACATTATTTCATTGAGTTCAGATCTCCAGAAACACGTAGAAAGAGAGTATTTTTGTTTTTATTTGTTTGTATTATACGCGTGCTGTCATTAGCTGAAACGTTACACATTGATAAACATTAGAGGTACAATACATATATCGATTATGTGTGCGCGTAACTATCTTAATAACGTACATATTATGTCAGAATTCAAGATTTTGTACTTGAGATCGTAGAAATATAGATTTAAAAACAAACATTATTATACAAAATATGGCGTTTGGACACTTTTATAAATTCTTAACTGTTGCAGAGTTATTTATTCTTATTCGTATATATGCGCGACTAGATTTTTGTCCCCTCGTTTGTTTGTTTGTTTGTTTTTTTTTTTTTTGTCGCGAAAAACTGTAGAGAAATGTGTCACACATTTTTTATTCCCGATATTAAAAACATAAATGATTGATGTGTATGTGTGTGTGTGTGTGTGTGGATTTTTTCCTGCTATTATCTACAATTGTCGCGTGTTTGCACAACATGGAGATTTGAATTCATCAAAATTATGCCGAGTACACTCTTGACTGCTTTGTCAAGTTTTTCGGATTAACCGAAAGGAGGACCGTTTTTTCTTTCTATCCGATCGTATTACAGCAGCTCGGTCGCACCTTGATAATCACAATCGTTATATATATACTTTTTTTTTTTATAATAGCATGTATTATTTATATATACCATCTCGCACCGAAGGATGAAAGGAAATATAGGTGAGAACGAAAGACGATCTCTGAAATAAATAACGCAACGAGAGAAACGACGAAGTAAGTAGACTAGTTAACACGCCAATGTCGCACATGACATTTTTATTCTTCTCTCTCTTTCTCTCTCTCTCTCTCACTCTCTCTCTTTCTTTCTTTCCTCTTTTCTTTTTATCTTTCTCTAAACATACGCAACACACACGTGCAGCACACATGCGCGCAAACACACGTATACGATCTCTTCTTTTCTTCTTTCAGCGTATCGCCGCATTTCTTTTTAGCAATTACAATTGGTGTTCGCTGGATTTGTCGGCTGATCGGTGAGTCTCTGGCCCTTATTCTGGCCGGCACCACCCGCCATCAGGGTCGGATCGTTGTCCAGGGATTCGCTCATCTTGTCGCATATTATATCCACCAGCTGTTCGAACACCGCCTGTCGAAACGAAAAACAAAGAGAATCGATCAATCGCGCGTGACCTCGCGACCGCCGCATGGATCGATACACCGCGCTTGTTTGCGTTTATTTTGGGGCGCAATAAGATAAGATCGCGTATTAGATAACGCATCGGATCGGCGGCGCCTAAGAAACGTGTCGTAAATTACAGAAAAATAAAATAACTATATAAAAATCGTGTATCTGCTTTTTTTTCAAGATAAATATGCCGAAGAATTCACGTGCGAAGAAACAATTACCTTGACATTGATGTTCTCCTTAGCTGATGTCTCGAAAAACCGTACTCCTAATTGCTCCGCCAATTGTTTACCCCTCTCGGTACTAATCACTCTCTCCTCCTCCATATCGCACTTGTTGCCCACGAGAATCACTTGGGCGTTGTCCCACGAGTAGTTCTTTATTTGCGTGACCCAGTCTTGTACCGAATTGAATGACTCTTCGTTTGTGATGTCGTACATTAGGATAAAGCCCATCGCGCCTCTGTAATAGGCCGTCGTAATTGTTCTGTATCTCTCCTGTCCCGCTGTATCCTGTGAGATTAAATAGCAAATGATACATTTTATTATTAAAGAGAATATATATTGCGCCATAATTTTTTGGTCGGAGATAATTGTAATTTTTTAATTAAGATAATTGTAATTTGCAAATAAATATCTATTCACACAATAAAACGTATATTATTGACGCGAAAATATTTTTCGTCGTGAATTTTTGGGTTTTCTGGTAACTCGTGCAAGTTTTTTTTCTCCCGACGGGATCGTAGGGATAAGTGAACTACTTTAGAGACGTACTGACCCAGATCTGTAGCTTGACTCTTTTGTCGTGTCTGAAGACGGTTTTCACTTTAAAGTCGATCCCTACAGTCGACACGAAAGCCGAGGTGAACGAGTCGTCCGCATAGCGAAAGAGAAAGGAAGTTTTTCCGACGGACGAGTTGCCGATTATCAGCAACTTGAACATGTAGTCGAAGTTTTGATCTGCGGCATCTCTGCCATCTTGGCGCGCCATCTGTGAAGAACAAAATTGTTCGGATTAATCTTGAAAAATTGTATCTCGTGCAGAATTAAAATTTACTCTTAAGAATACGGCGCGTTTTAATTGCACAATTCAAGCACGAAATGATTAGCATCTCTAAAAAAAAAGAGAGAATCTTTACTTATACATATAAAATTAGATTCTAGCGTAGAAATTAGTTTCACAAATGATGATAAGTGCAATAATTCAGAGAAAGTACGTGTTATTAATATAAAAATAAGAATTACGGAAGTAACATTATCTTCAAATTTTGCAAAAAACTTATTTATTTAGATTTGGAGATATATATAGATATAAAAGACTTGTGTGGGCATTATAATTTGGTGTTTCACGTGGGCACGTTGTAAAAGCTGCATCACTTTCATGAGAGAGGAACGAGATGAACAAGAGACGACCGTGCGATGCAACAGATGAATTTCCTAGCGATGCAAAACTCGTCGTAGTTTATCGGAACCGCTCGGCCATGTTCAGAAGAACGTCGGATAAAAATATCGAAAAGCTTGAGGCCGTAAACATGTAAAAAGACACACGAGAGAGAGATTTTATAAAGGTTTCTTCTCAGTTCGCAGAGACTCTCGAGTTTTAGAAAATCAATTCAACTCCACTTTCTATGTATTGTAACTTGTGTGTGTGTGTGTGTCAAATTGTAAAAACAAGATCTTTATTTATTGAATGAAATAAAAACAAAATATTTTTTTAATAAACCCAAAATTCTGCAAAAATAAAAACTTTGATACCTCTCTCGTTCTGACGTTACTGTCAGAGTTTTTATAAATGAAAATATTTTTATCTTTATAACATCTTTTTATTGATATTGTCGGATTGCAAGCTGTTAAATAAACACAAAGTAAAATGGTAATATAAAAAAATATAAAAAAATATAATATGAGGTAATATAAATATACGGTAGAATAGTAATTAAAAAAAAAAAAAAAAGCTAAATTGCTTCAGCGCAATTTTCAGCTTCTTTATGTTCATCATTGTTTTTTAGATTCTTTGCGACTCATTGTCACAAAGATCTCAATTATACACACAATAAGTGACAAGCGGAAAATTCAATTGAATTCAAATATTCCACTTTGCTCGTGTAATTTATAAATCGTCAATGTTATCACGCGTGTAAGACTTAATTGAATTCCAATGAATTTTCTCGCGCATTTTTCCTCTGTCAAAGTTTTTCTCTTCGATTTCCACGAGAAAAAAAAAAGAGAGAGAGATTTTTGCAACACAGTTACTTTAATCGAATCGATATTCTCCGGTACCGGATTATTCTCCTGCGGGATAATCTCGACGATGGACAGCATCCGGGCCATCCTTGTGCGCAGCTCGAAAACAGAGTCCTTAACATGCGTGCGGGACGCGTTCTCGCACCTCTTCGCCATCTCACGCGTCACATTGATGTGACACCCAATCGATCTTTTTGTGTCTCCCTTTCTCTGTTCCCTTCTTTTACAGCGCTTCGATCACTTTAACGGGAGCGATTTCTCTCAATGTCCCATCTAGTCCCCGTCTTTTATTAACTGCAATTTATTAACCGCTTTTTATATTTTCATCGCCTATCCAATTATCTTTGTTTTTCTTTTTTTCATTGTAATTTATTTACCGTCTTGTTAAACTATCTCTTGTTTTATTAATTAATTAACCGCTTTATGCTTAAACGTCCCTAGTCTTGGTTTATTCACCGTTTCATTAGGTTGCGGTGGCATTAAATAACCGCGCTTGTTCCAGCAGATTGTATTAATTAACGACGTCCGTGCTTCGTTGGTTTGTTCTCCTTTAATTTCTTCTTCAACCGAGACGACGATGCTTTTACTTCGATATAATTATTGATCACTTTTTTTGACGTTCACTGTTTACTTATCACTTCGCTATTCTTTGACGCACAGCGCAAAATAGTCCCGCTCGATATGATTAAGTAATTAAATGATGTAATTAAATCTCTGACTAATTAAACGGTAACAAAAAGACAAATTACTGTATCAGGCACTGTATCCGCGTTCGTGGCAAATGACCATTATGTTAACGCGAAATTATTTAGGTCGGTTTGAATAGATGAGCTGTCCGAGCGACAAACGAGCAACGACGTGGCCGATTTCGCGGTTCTTTCTTCCGTATGTGTACATACATACCATGTTTCTTCGTGTTGCCGACAACGATAATCGAAACCTGCTGCTGCCGAGCGATAGCGTGCGGTTTGCGCAGGTGCGTATACATACGATCGTGTTCACGTCGCACACTTAATGCAAACTTTCCATTTATTCTTTTTATCTCGTTAATGAACAGTTTTTTTTTGCGACTCTTATTTACGTGTATTTTTCCGATCCAGTTTTTAACAAAAACTGAATTTTCTTCGCGACGAAAAACGGCGCACTTTGAACTATTCTAGAGCGACAAAAAACATGACAAAAGTATTACTTTCCGCTTTTCTTCCGACACAAAAGTCGATAAAATGTAAAAGCAGAAGTTTCCAAGCTCATTGATTACCGATTCGTCACAAGTAACATGCCGTATTCGTGATTGGAAATCAATCGGTGGATCAAGAGAGAGCTATAAATGGTTACGTTCGAAAAACTCAACACACACACACACAGTTACACAATGGTTGAGAGAGATTATGGGTATTCCTAAAAACCCATCACAGTTCTAAAAGTAGAATCCAATCACAAGTGATAATCTCTCAACTGTTGTGCAACTATTGTGTTTTCTGAATGTAATCAATATCTATGCGAATATACATGTAAAGTTGCGGTTGTGGAAAGTTTTTAGATTCTACAGCGGGCACAATCTCTCGATTTCACACTCGATTTGTACAATTTACTCTTTGGACAAAATATACAAGAAAAAAAAAATATATATATACGAGAAAACAACGGAAAAAATATAGAATGTAAAAATAAGAAATATAGAAATAGAGGAATATAGAAATGTAAAAATAGGAACTGTATCGATCTCTTCTCTTTAATCTATACTTATACTGTCTATCATGTGCATTTTGTGAAAAAAAAACGTTTGGCATGATATTTTTATCCTTTTCCTAGTTTCTTATTTAGAACCAGAACATGTCGGCCAAAAATTGCTTAACCGCGATTATATTCTTGACGTTTCTTTGAACTGTCAAAAATTAATATTTTCTAAATTTGAAAAATCTTAACATACTGACACATCGCAGTTTTTAAAAATTATTATTTATAACTTCTTTTGTTTGTCTGCACTTACATACGACTGAAACATTATTAACATATTCTTGACAAATGGACTTCGCGAGAAAACAAAACAACAAAAACACCTGCGGAACTGCAAAAGTACGCTTTGTAGTTTTTTTTTTTTTAAATCTGCACAATGCGCGTTTATCACTGTTTACAACTACGTTAATGAATTATACGGATGTAATCAGGAGAACAATATGACTGCGACAATCGCGCGAAGAGCACTGCATATAATTATTTTACGAGGCGTGCGATAAAAGGGAGAGAGGATAAAATCTTATCCGGAAAGTTGCGTCACGCACTTGTATACACAAGCCTCATATATATATATTGTGTGTACACGCATTATGTGTTGTACGGTCAAGGAAAAGTAGGACAAGGTTTTCCGTGTGCGATAACAATATCGGCGCTATATGTCATATCAACGTTAACGCCGGACGATTCTCGCGAAAAAAAGGCGCGAGCATGCGCGACGTCACCTGTACGCATTGTCACCTGTACACATATTATAAGTATGACGTCTTTCATGAAAATGAGAGAAGGGTAATTGAGCGGTCCAGCGTTTAAAGAGAAAGATAATGACGGAGCGGACGTTCTGCGGAGGTCAAGTAGATACGGAAATCGATGGTGTGACGGCGATGAGGACAAGTCCATTTTTTTTTCTCGCTTAAGAAACTTCGTTCGTCCGAAAATTACAGTTTCACGAGATTACGATTATTAAGTTTGCGATTATTTTGCGGGAATATTGCACAGTTGGTGGTAATATTACGCTGCGCTCTCGTTGCAAATATTATATCATTCGATATTTTATCTCGCGGAGGGTGATAGCACGGTGTGATTCTTATTTAAAGATTTCAAAAAAATCCACGCTTATCATCGTCTGAAATTCCGTTAAAATGCAAATTCGCATTTAAGTCGAAATGTAATTAAACATTTTGTATCGGAGTAAAGAAAATTTGTCGAAGAAATCTCTCTTATGTATATGCATAACTTGTGAAATAAGTTCAATTTTTTAATTGCATCGCGCATAATATATACATATATATATATATATATATATATATATATATATAATTCCCGTCTTCCGAGAAAATTAATGCGAATGTGAACACAAAAATCGACCTGATATCTCAAGAGAATAAAAAAAATGTGAGAAGAAAAAAATTTCTTCGTACTGTCTCAACCGTTTGACTTGCAGTAACTCGATTCGAGTTGTCTTTCGTCAGAAGGCGCAATTACTTGCACCGGATGCATAATCATCTGATTCGTATTCGTAGTCACGCTCTCTCTACGTTAGATTCCCTGACGACAGAACAAGAACGAACGGCAAGAGGAGCAAATATTTTCGGAGGCAAATCGATTGTTATACCCCGTGCCCGCCCACGTTTGTTCGCGTTTCTCGCGCCACCCGTAGTTACGTAGTTTCGATTTCAGTGCATCGGGGAGTTAGTAGAATGAACGGCGGCGAAAGATGGAGCCTCCGTTTACGTCAGAGACACGCGCGTTAGCGTAGAAGACATCGGTCTTTAAATGGCCCTCCAACGCCTACGTAGAAAAACTAAATACGATAATCAACTAACTCCTCGTTGACGTCCAGCTGATTACGTCGCGATGGGTTTTTAGCCTGTAAAATTAGTGCGGTTATTTGTCAGTTAATAGACAGTGAAGTATACAGAGCAACCTTGAAAAATGTCAGAGTTGGGAAGTAGAAGAGAAAAATTGATCATACAAACACTGATTGAGATGTAACGTTACGCTAATTAAAAAAGAGTAAAGTATAATAAAATACAAGATTTTTTGTGATATCACACACACATGGCAAATAAATATTATTATACTCTGTTCATTATTGTTTTATATTTATATGATGTTTATACGTGTCATATATTATATATTTTGTGTTATATCAATATTTATTACTTATTAATTTGTTTTTAATAATAAAGATAATATTTGTGATTTAAAATGAACACAATTGTTATTCCGAACAAACAAGAACTTTTCGAAAACTCGAAAAAAAAAAAATTGTTATAATAAACGCGCTCGATTACAAAGGCCGACACTCAGCTGAGTGTTGGACGGCAGAAAGCTAATTTATCGACGTATTTATTCCATTATCTCGGCTTTTTTATTTCGTTAATTTTTGAAAAATGCGCAAAACAATTTGTGACATTGCGCAATTTACTCGCAAAATCTCGAATCGATAGAAATCACAGAGAAAGGTGTTGTGTGTGGGACAAATAAAATAAAGTCATGTAAAAAATTGATTAAAAGTTGGTCAAAGCGTGGTCACCTACGTCACACCGACACCTCATGATGTCGCATGAAACGCAGAAAGTGTGAGCCCGGATGAATGGAAAGTCAGACGATCGTGCCCGCAGCTTTTACAACTGATAGAAGAAAACAGGAAAGACAGAGAAAGAGAGAAATTTTTACTGCCGTAGTGAATTAAGTTTTTTAAACGCTTTTTTAACGCGAGATGACATGTTGAAGAAGCTATAATAATAAACTGAAAGATATTTATGATAAATATAGATAAAGTATACATGTATATTTGAAAGGAAGAAATAAACGGGACAAAATATGGATGAAACGTTTCTCTCTCTTTTCTCTCAAAATATACACGTTATAAAATAAAGAAAACCAGAGAGAGAGAGAGAGAGAAAGATAATGATGACGATGATAAAATAAGACGAATATAAAAATAGAAATATTCAAAGGACAGAAATAGACAAGTACCAAGAGAAACAGAGAAAGATAGAAAGAGAAAGAGAGAGAAAAAGAGAATTAGAGTGAGAGGAAGAGAGAGAGTGAGAAATCAATAAGCAGGCTATCGACGAGTTTACTTTCCCGAGGAAAACTTCTCGCTCTCTACACTCAATTGCTACCGAATCTCTCGTGAAGAGATTGCCCAAGTGTCACCTGGAAGAGTCACTCCCTGAAGGTGGGGTAGGTGGTGGTTTCTCTTTCTTGAGCGGACGAGACGGGATCGCTCTCTCTTCCTATAATCGTCGACGAGCGGAAATCCTGCACGGATTCGTCGTCAGCGCAGTTGTCGATGCGACGTTAGATGCGACGACGGATGCACCACGCGTTGCGCTGCGCTCGGTCGTCGATCAATTAATATTTAACGCACGCAGGAAAGGCGCGAGGGGGGTGGGTAGCGATAGCGGGGAGGGGCGGTCAGCACACAAGGGTGATGTTGGGGATGTTTCGATGTGAACCGGCGCTCTCTTTCCTCGCGATCGCACCAAGCGAGCGACAAAACACAATGACGAGACGCGAGCACGCAGGGGTTTTATTTCGTAAGAGCGATTACAAGGCGACTGGGACAGCCCGCTCTCGGTGGAAGTGTCTCGCGCACCGCGTAGACCATTCGCTCGCTGGCTATAGCTAAAATATCGACCATTTCTCGCACGACCCCCGCCCGTCGTCGGGTCCAATACTGGGGGATGAATTCGCGCCTGCGCCACCAAGCAACCCTTGACTGACATCAATATAATCGTGAACGAAAGCACGCTCACTTCTTCGGGGGAGAGAGAGAACACTTGTTGATCCGGAGGATGTCCCGTGGATATCTCGCTCCGAACGACTTCTGCGAGACTTTCGATTTGCCGCTCCGGCTCGGATCTTGCGCGAAACGCTTTGATCAGGACGTGAAAAGACCACGTCTTCCATCTACACCAAACCTGAAGAACCAACACGAATTTCTTTCCATTCTGTCGGCACTCGTAGTTTCATGGTCATCGATATTGATTCAATGTAACGTCTTATATTACTTTCGCACAAAACAAATGTCACATATATACAAAATATTTTATGTTATTTTTATTTTTATTTTTATCATACAGTTTCATTTTATTTTACGTACAATAGCGCCATGAAAACAAACACGTAAAAATAATACATTTTTGTGAATTGTTCAACATTAACAACGTTTTATTAAGCGCAACACAATTTGCAAACTATTATTATATTTTATCAAACAATAAAGAACTTTTTTTTGTGCGAAAAGAGAGTCAAGTATTTATGCTCGATTTCTCTCACATTGGCTTTTTTTTATTTTTTTAAGTATAATTATTTTATCTCTCTTTTATATACAAATAACCAACAGGTTTTAATATTTATAAAGTATCAACAAATGAAATTAAATATAGTGTGTAATATATTCAATGACGCGTATGTAACGATAATTTGTATAATGGGAATAAAATAATTTCTCTTTTTTACATTTCTTTTTTTCACCGTGCTTGCGAACCTACTATGCATGTAAAGGCATACTATGATTTTTTTGTGGTTGAATTCCAAACTTCCAAAAGTGTTTGAAGACACTTTTGTTTAGAGATATTTTCGCGGAAAATTGTATCTCAAAGACTTGTTGGCGGTTTGTGAGAAAACAACCTGTAAAAGTTCACAGTAATCCGATGTCGCAAGCCGGACTTACGGTAAATCCAAGATTTCCCGGCTAAGAATCTTACTGACTCCGAATCGCGAGTCAATATTCCGTTGTGTGTTGCAAAAAATAATGATAAATACACATGTATATATATATGTTAATTTGTATAATAATCTTTTTATGTATATTTATATGTATATAAATTACTTATAAGCTTTTTCTTTCTATCACATCAGACAATAAAAAAACATGAAGTATATACAATACTTGTTTAAAATTGTTTTAACTTATTGCGCGTGTAATAATCATTAACTCATTACAGAGCAATGATATGTCAAATCATAACTACATAAATAAGTGCTTTATGGCAGCTGTATTATTATAAAAATAATACAAAAAAATAAATAAAAACTTTCACTCTTTCCCTCTCTCCCTCTCGCTTTCTCAATATATTTTAATATATAGCTAGTTCTCTGAAAACTCTTATTCTCTGAAGAAGTTTTTAAAAATATAAAAATAATTTGATTTACGTGATAATTTGATTCCGAGCACATCCGTTCCTCAACTTATCGATTTTTATGAGCAATTGTTTTAAGGCACTTACAAAACTATTCGCGATTTTAAGTGAGAATTACAAATTTTCAAAATCTATAACTTTTCAGTATTCTAGAATTTGTTAACGCAATTTGTATCACAACGAGCAAACGACATACAGTGACTTTTTCGAAGTCCTATAATTTACTTTCAACATTCTCATCATGCACGATTGTCGGATTCGTGGCGGCCCATTTTTCCTTGATGGCATGTTTCTCTCGCCTAGGTCGGTTCTTTAAATTTTGTATGCCGGCGTAATGCTCCTCGATCTCTCTCAGAGTTCTGCCTTCGGTCTCGGGTAGCATGAAATAAAGATAGCACAGACCGGCAAAACTAATCAGCGAGTAGAAGAAAAACGTGCCAGACAGCGTCATGCCATTTATCATGTAGAAGAAGATTTTATTGGAGATCGATGTTAAGATGTAATTTGTCATACCGGCTGTACCAGTTGCACTGCTACGTACCTGGTGGCCAATGTAAAAAAAATGAAATAATAAAAAGGTCGAAAAAGAAGAACGCAGGTTTTAAGAATATAAATACATAAAAAGAGTTTTTTAAGAATATAAAAATTAACATGTCAATTCGAACTGATAATGCTGATAATGCTGATTTAACACACATAAGTTTGCAAACAGAAATTTAAACGAATTAAGATAAAATAGATTGCGTGAAAATATATATCTCTCGTTGCAAACATGTACGAACCTTCGCCGGAAACACTTCGCCCGCCAGAATCCAAGGCAGCGTTCTGATGCCTATGTTCGCCATGAAAGCGGCGCTTATGATAAGAGTAGTCGGTAACCAGGTGTACTTGGTACCGTCCAGATAATTCACGTCGCTCAGATAACCGTAGATGGCGATAACGAGAAGACACAAGCCAGTGCCGATGAGAGACAGAAAAGACAACTTACGTTTTCCCATAAAGTGAATCGTCAGCACGCTGATTATGGTCCCGACTAACTGAGCAATACCCAGAAACACCGCCGCCGTGTAATTGTCGATCGGCGCTTTCAACTTCGCGAATATCACAACGGCGTAAGTCTGTAGAGTCGATGTGCCGTTGAAGGCACCGATAAAGAAAGTGACACTGACTAGAATAAAAGGCATGTAGAACGTACGTTTGGTGTAGGCCCGCCAGACCTCGTTCTTATTGGAATCGGTGCTATCGACTGGCTTCTGAACCGCCTCGCAGAGCGCCTGAAATTCAGTTTGCACCTGCGACGGATTGCACCAGCCTCGCAACCAGCAAAGAGCGCGTTCCGATTCCGCGAAACGACCCTTAGCTAAAAGAGAATCGGTTTGTCTTCAAGTATATAATTATAACAGTACAAGTAAATAAATAAAATAAGATATTAAATTTTGTTGCATAATTATTCTGATCAATATAAGGGGCTTAATTAATGACTTACCGGCGAGCCAGTGCGGACTCTCAGGCACCAAGCATAGAGCGAGAAAACATAGAATCGGATAAGCCAAATTGATCATTGCCACCGTTTTCCAGTCGGTCAAGCTGCCGCTTAACATTTGCGTGAAGATACCCAAGATGACAGCCATCGTGGAGGTCGCGGAAAGCATTCCGCGCAGATAAGGCTGCGTTACTTCGGCGACATAAGTCATGACTGGCGCTTCAAGAAGACCGCCTGTCAGACCTGTCATCGCCAACGCCGTAAACAACATCGCGGAATTGCTCGAGTAGTGATACATTAGCCAGGCCATCATGAACGGTATGTTTGTCAGCATCATCATTCGTTTCCTGCCCAGATACTGCGACAGTGGTCCACTCACTAAACAACCGATCGGTACGAGGAATAAATTTAGACTACCTAAAAAGATACATGATTATTATATTAAAAATTTATGTTATATTAACAATATATTAGAGATAAATAAATAATACACAGAAATATATATATATATATACAACAATAGTAAAAAATGAATAACAATTTGTAAATGAGAGTTCGTACTGATCCACGTCAGTTCCTCCATAGTAACTTTAATATCTGCATCTTCTTTCTGCAACGCTGGTATTAAGATAGTGGAAAATCCTAAAGTTGATCCAAAGGTAAGCATGAGCAAATTTTTCGCACCAACTGCGCAACACTGCGGTAATGCTTGTCGAAATTTTGAGACGCACACCTCATCGATCGTAAATGACGACTTATCGTCACTTCTGAAAACAAACAATTGAGAAATTAACGATAAAAGATAAATAAACTGTACAATACAACACAACGAAAAGATATATCAGAGCACAAGAAAAAGTTGGATCTTCGTTGTCAAATTGAGTAAATTTTTGTTGTCAAAATATTTAGCTAAGTACAAATAATCGAATAATCCCACATTAAGTCTGCAAATTTGGCGCGTTATGTTCAATGTTTAAGGAAAAAGATAAACGTTTAATAACATCATTAAAAGATGAACATTTTTATCACATCGTATTAAGAAATTTTTTGAGTTTATTTTTGTTTTAAATTCAAACAAAATGGATTTATTATTCGATGAAATAAATAGAAAAAATAATTTATCACCACGTTGAAATAAATTCTTGGATAGTCTTTAGAATATCAACATCATACGTTCGAACTATTCTTTCATCGGTTTCTAGTAAATATCAACTTTTTAATAATATAACAAAATTATCTTGTTGAAGATTGTGTACGAGATTGTGTGTGTTAGATTTGCAGACTTGAATCAAGATGATCGGCTTTTCGTCACAGAACACCTTCTCATCTAACAGTAAAGATTTAGCTTTCACTTGCGTTGGCAAGTGGCAAGTATCTCATATATTTCTTCATCTTGAATTTCGAAGAGAATAACATTTCTTTCATAATAAGTTCTAAAAAAGTAGAAATTTGAATTGTAAGTTTGCGTAAGCTGGATTTGCATAACTTGAAAGTAGACATTTTTTTTATCAACGTTCTTTTTTCTCTAGAATTAGCAGGCTTTGGAAGTTAAACACGCTAGATACATCTTTAGAGATCTACGTACATTGAGCTGTCAATGAGTCAAATAAACGGTCTCGAATAAATCTTAGACAACTATACATCATAGTGAAAAGAAATTTCATGTAGATGTACGACGATGAATGAATATTCTCAAGACAGGTAAACATTTGCGTGCAGTTAAAATGGTGCAAAAATATAAAAACTGTCAATTTGTATATCGCTAATTGTACACGTGTACATGTACAATCTATTATTTCAGAACGTATAATTTGTTTTTTTTTTTTTTTTTTTTTTTTAATATAAATGGATAAAGATATAATTACATGTGTACATGTGTGTACAACACAAAAATATATTGGAACAAAATCGAAGTATTTTAACATTTTTACTTTTTATCTAATATTTTTATCTAATATTGAAGAAAATACGCAAGTTCAATGAAACGCAATTTTAGTAGGTTATTGAAGCATAATTGACGATCCTTTTACAGAGCCTTTCACTTGACGTAATCACTTTGCTTTCAGCGACAATCTCTACAGCGATACTGAAATATTCAGTTATTTCGTGTATCACTCTATGTTTTATATGTTTCTATTCTGTTTTAAGTTTTGAAGTGTCATACAAAATTATAAACAACCTAACGATAATTTAATTTGATAGACGTAAGAAACCGGTATGTGTATAATTTTATGCCGATATCTTTAATTTATGCTAAGTCATGGTAAATCTCACGTACGAATGTTAAAAATAAACATATCACAGTTGTGCAAAAGAAGAGTACATTCACCGTAAAATTCACCTTGAATGAGGCAAGAATTAAAGTAATTCGACGATCCCGTAAGACAAGACGTTTGTAAAAACATCGCGAACCGGTTTGCGATTTATACCGGCCACGAACGTTCAAGAACGCGCGCAATTACATAAGCGCACTGACGGTCGAGGTACCTTTTGTACTGAATTGTGCCGTAAAATCACTGCTGCGAACGTTGCACAAAGCACAATGTGACGATTAACTTGAATGGATATTTACGCAAGGTTACGGTGAGAATAGATTTCTCTTACTATTAAAATTATTTTTTTTTATGTTTTTCCGATGATGTTGCAAATACGATAAAATATCATTCATCTCATGCGATAATAAAGTAATCGATTCGCAATATTAATATATTTCGCAACCTGTCACGATTGTTTGCAAATATCAATCGTTCTTGCGCCGCGTCTCGAACAAAACGAACCCGGCAATGACATAACATACATTCAGTCATGTAACGCAGTCTCATTTTCCTCGTGCTCGAGCATATAAATGTGTTCGTTGCTCTTTCACGCGTGCATTCTCGCGTGTGATTTATGTTTTTGCATTTATCGTCGCGAAACTTATTTTTACATAGACCGTATTATCACAAACCGTACAAATGGATAAGTTTGTATCCAAAATGTTGTTTATTGTACATATGTCGGAAAAGAAAACTAAATTTATTGCCATTTGCGTTATTATTATTATTTACTATTTTGTGTAAAATAGCTGCATTATCCGCTTCCAAAAAATAAAAATAAGCAGTTTTGAATGAGTCTAAAAATTAAATGATTATCAAACTTCTAATTAAATTATTTAATTATTATGCGCACCTGTAGAACGTGTTCTAATTGATACTTTTGATTTTTTTAGTTTACGAGAGTCTAATCGAACTCTGATGTGAGATTTTAATTACGTTTAAAACACGCCAATTACATGTCCTTCGTACGCGCGTAATGTGCAACAACTTTTCAATGCCGCTCCGTTGCTATGAGAAATTAATTGTTCTATGGCATTAATTGCCGTTAAAGGAAATAAGATGTTATCAAGAAACCAGAGAAACGATCGCCGCAAGTTGTTCAGATCTGAGATTGACGTACAATCGCGCCATTATTTCAAAATTCTATTTTGTTTCGCCAGAAAGTGCTACACCAGAAAATTACACTTTCTATTACATTTCACCTTTTGTTGCGTATTCCACTTGTCACGCTTTATACATTTCGCACAGTCTGTATGATCGCAAAATGACATCATTCTGTGAGAGAAAATATTTGAGATTAATTATTATAATAGCTTGTGCAGAGAAAATACACGGAAATCGTTGATCAACGTAGAAAAAATACAGAACATGCGGAAAATATGTAATCTCGCCTGACGGTTTTTTTTTTTTTAAGTTTACATATACACGTAAGCGTTTTTTCCCGTTTTTATTTCCAGCAATTATAGTTTAACAGCCACACATTTAACTCTTAAACGCGAAGATGGATGTGCTGCACTTAGAGAGATGTGGTCTTATGATTGAAAGTTATATTCTTGTACATTCTCACGTTGTCGTTATGTATCACACAACAATCAAGTTACATCTGCACAGAAGCGAGTTTATTTCTAAATTTCTCTCTAAATTTCTCTTCACACAGTTGATCTCAGATTTGGTTATTTAAAGTATCTGGCTATTCAAGTAGTTAGTACTCTTTGTGTAAAAAGTATAAATATTTATAGATTGAAAAAAAACTCAAAATATATTTTTAACAAAGATTTGTTAGTTAGTTTGTGCTTTCTCCAAGTACATGTAATAGTTATTTTCTTTTAACGAGAGAATTCTTAAACTACACTAAAAACTGCATCTATGCAAAACAAGACGACGGTAATGACTTTAAAAACATTGCAATTGACTTGTAAACTTGTTAAAGTTGCATGTAATGACCGCATATCTTTGTCAGTACTGTTTTGTATTAATTATCCAAATTTTTCGAACTTTCTTTAATTATATTTTTAAATGTATTAAAATATATTTTAAATACATTTAAAAATATTATTATTAAAATATATTTTAAATACATTTAAAAATATAATTAAAGAAAGTTCGAAAAATTTGGATAATTAATACAAAACAGTACTGACAAAGATATGCGGTCATTACATGCGACTTTAACAAGTTTACAAGTTAAATACATTTAAAATATATTTAAAATATATTTAAATATATTCTGTCTTCTTTTAAAATCACATTACATGTAATTGTAAAGGTTTTTAATTGTAAAGTTTGTTAAAAAAAAAAAAAACACATTTAGAGTTTTTTTCTGTTCATTAATTTAAGTATACGAAGTTTTATCTATTTTTTAAGTGACTGGATATCTTTGAGACTAACTGTATATTAAGAATTTTCAACTTGTCACGCTGAATCATTTTTAAATCTTCTGATATAACGTTGTTGAGCCGAGTATTTATTAATAAAAAGATTTGTCGACACCTGATCTGTCGAATATAAAACAGCTAGCTTTGTCCCGCAGCTCTGATTGACGCAAAAAGTATTAATTACTTGTAACGCGCGAAGGCGGCATTAATGCAATGAGATTGACGGTCAGTGACCTACTTACGAACAGCAATCGTTACTATACTGTTTATTTTCGTAAGTTAATAACAGTTGATAAAAATTTAAATAAAACAAAAATTTAAAAACAGAAAATTGAAAGATCAGTGCGAACCAATATGCATAAGCGCTCGTGTACATAAACTATTATTTTTATTCAAACAATATCACGAGTTTTTTATAATTATTTTATCAATTTTTAGATCTTTATCAGTAAACTGAATAAAGACAAAGAAAAAAAACACTAGCATATAATAAATTACGTAAAATCACAGAATTATTTAAAAAAAAAAATAAACTGTCTTACCGTAATTAAATAAATTAGAACATAACTGTACAAGTTGACGACAGTAAATATTATGTGTAGTGTGTAAAACGATCATCAACTCTAAGTCAGAAAACATAAATATACTTACATTAAATATACATTAAATATTTAAAAAAACGCAGACACAATTAAAGTCAAAATAATAAATAAATAAATAAATAAATAAATAAATAAATAAATAAATAAATAAATAAATAAATGCATACTTAGTCAAAAAATAAAATTATCTTGGTCGAAATACATAATTCCGTTGTCACATACTGGTGACAACGGAAGATCAACTACACAACATAGAACTTCAAAGTAAACTAAACTTTAATAACCTTCAAGATAACTCACTATAAATAATGTTTTCCTCAGAACGTCAAACAAAAAGTTACATGTGAGTCAAAAGAAAACGGTTAATGTTTGAATTTATATTGCTCTAATAAAAGAGAAGTAAAAACTAAGTTTCTATGTGTTTCTCTTTTTTTATGCCAAAATCGTGTTTTCTATCAATTCTATGTTCAAAATAAATACATATTAACGCAACAACGTGTATAAATATTATAAAAATTGATCAAACTTGATGTATTGTAACAACTCAGTTAATGAAGAAAATGTCTGCAATTTTGCAAAATGCTTTGTCAAAAAATTTTGATAGAAAAACTCAATAAAATTTATACAATTCAAATAATATTTCTCATAGTCTTGTTTTTAATATTTCTGGAAGAGATTATTTAAATTATATTTCTATTTATTAATCATAATTTATTTACAAAATGCGTTATCAAAATAATGTAGGCGTCGTTACGAGGACAAGAAAATTATAAGTATTAAAAACAATGAAACAGTTGAGGAAACTCAATGATATCTCACTTCCTGCAATTTTCCTAATGCACTGCCTCGACACTCACGGTTTCAGAAAATAAACTTATTCGCGAAACATGTTTGTACTATTTACGATTGTCTCTCTCTTTCTCTCTCTTTTCATAAAAAAGATATATTAAAACGTTACGCAATGCTTTAAGCAAACTCTAAGATCAGAAAAGTCATTTCTCGTATCGTTGGTACTCACTTACCTTAGTTAATTATCTGCAAGAATATAAAAAAAACCGAATATATCGTCAGATCGATTTTTATAAAATTTGTAAAATTATGCCAGTAACAAAGTTGTTGGTTTTTTCCTTCTTCTTCCTTCTTCCTCTTAAGAAACAATTAGATGTGGTACCAAAAACCTTGAATTTTATTACTTGTAATTCTTTAGATCTCCGTCATTATAAGAGTAATTATTCTCGCGTTTTATGCTCAAAAAAAAATCATAATGACATGCCTTGACTTATAATAAGAATTTATGTCATTATTATGAGTTAGAAATTATGATTTGTTTTCGTTAACATTAAAACTGAGCTTTTTATAAACATTCTGCACATTTACATTACAATTTTCACGCAATGTAAATATGTCACAAATGATATAATATCTCAGATGATTATTCGATGATGCATTGCAATTTAAACATTTACACTAGTTTTACGAAAAGACTGTGCAAATATCGAAATATGATTCGAATAACTGTTTCTTAGAAACGTATTTTGCGACTTTAAGAGGAAATATTTCTTTTTTATACATACAAGAATTTCTGTGAATCATTTAAATTGCAAAAAGTGTCAAATGCACGTTTAAACTTGACAAACCTTTTTCCGTTTTTCACACACTCGGAAACTGCCATCTTCTTAAGTATAGTTTGATTTTTTCAGTTTCTCTTTAACTTTGAGGACACGATGCGGTTTCACCAGGTTCTCTGTAGCATAGCAAAGGACACACGTGCAATGAGAAGATGACCTTCTTTGAAAGATGCAGAATCAGTTGTGTTGCAAAAGATAAGAATGTGTACATGAAGAGAAGATTAGCAGAGACTTTGTTTAAGCCCGGCTTTACTCAAAACAAAAAAAATTATTACTTTTATCTCACGACTTAATTGCTGTTTAATACTTTTAAGTGTAGCAGTTTTCATTCTTAATTGCAGCAAAAGATATAGCCAAAGATAAGATTAAATGACAAATGTGTATGTGAAAAGAAGACTATTAGAGATTATGTAAGACTGGCTTTTCGGAATAAAAAAAATATTACTTTTATTTCAAGACTTAAGAAGTCTTAATCAAGACTTAATCAATTAATTACTCTCTAATACTTTTAATTCAATAATAAATTTTTTTATGTGTCGTAAAAAACGTAGCAATATTTGAAAAAAATAAATATTTTCGCTATATATCTCTTATGTAGTTTATCTCGTTAAAAAGTGTGAAAACGAAACAAAAATCTCATACAGCGTTTTCTGATTTGAATTCTGTCAATTAAAAAAAGCTGTCGAAGAATTGATTTTTGTTGAGTTAATTTCATAAAATTGCGATAAGATAATTTCGTTCATTAAATACCAAAAATTGTTCTTTTATATTCATCACAAACTTGCGGAGAAATCAATCACACAAACCAGAAATTTCATTAAACTTCTTTCATTGCATACATATTTTTTAATTTTTTGTTCTGAATTTTTTCACGAACGCAGTTTTTCTTTTGCTTTTGTTTGTACCTGTAGCTAATCGCTAAAATTAAAAAACAAAAACAAACAAAAACGCGTTTGAACGCAGAACAAACTTTGCACTTTAAAATGCAGCGAAATCGAAGATTCAAAAACAAATCACGCTCGAAAGTGGAACACGTAGAAAGTAGTACTAACAGGTTGAAAGGTTTACAGCAGACCGAACACTACAGCAGACTAAATGCCGCGCGGCGCGAAAGCTATGACCAAGCTGTACTTTCGATTTTAAACTCCCTCCTTCAACATCTACCCTCCCCCTATCGGAGGTTAGAGACAAATCGCATATTCGTATGTGAGCATACATGTGATCTCTTTCTCTCCCTCTCTTCTCATTCTTCGTTCATGTTATTGCAATTACACTTGACCAGCAACCAGCAACCAGCAACTGTCAGTTTGACGAAGCAGAGCAAAACAGTGAGATCAAAAGATCGATCAATGTTCTCTCGTAAAATACTATTTAAAATTGTGGAATTTTTTCACTTTTTATAAAATAATACACACTTTTTGTAAAATAGTACAAAGTTTTATAAAATAGTACAAGTGCAGTATTTTTTTTACAACTGTACGTTGTATTTTACACTGTATATGTATTTTTTTTTCTACACGACGGTTTTATCTGTTTTCAAACACACACATATTGTTGTTAACGTAATCAAAGATATTATTTTCTACAATTACATTAGTAATCACACAACTTACGATGTAAACGTTTTTATTGCAATTGATGAAAAATAAAAAATTCTAACTGTGCCTCAATACTAAAGAAAAAGATTAAGAATTACGTTGATTGCTCTCATCATTATTAATATGCATGTTGTCTGATCGCGGATTACGCTAAGATTACTTTAAGACTGATATAATTCATTAATTCTTTGTACAAATATGAATAATCTTCTTATTGCATTGTTGTGCCACTATTTCTTCTTGTCTACGTATGTGACACTAACAAAGCGTCGCGTACGAAACAGTACACAAACTTTTTTAAAAACAATATTATATAAAACAACATACATATAGTGTGTATGTAGTAACAGATTCTAACTAGTTCCGTATCTGTATGTTTTACTGCCAAAAATGTACAATAAGTGCTTGATATAACTTGCTTTGCCAAACGTAACTATTAGAAAAAAACAAATAAGTATAAAAAAAACCTAGTAATTTTATAACTTTATTTATATATGTATAAATATATATATATATATATATATATATGTAATATATTGAGTATATTTTTTTAATTACTTTCTAAGCTCCAGAGTTTTAGAAAATTGTTTATGCTTCTCGATTTGAAACTTACGCAGCTAAATATTGTGTGTGTCAAACGTCTCTAAACTTATTTTCTTATATATTTTTTTTACAAACAAACACACACGAACAGTTTTTTATATTTCTTGCGAAATAAAACAGAAATTCTTTACAAGTACGATTTACATAAACAAGATAATTTTGGCAATTCAAAAACCTATAACTTTAAAACCTATAAAAAAACAGCCTGTTACTAGACTTCGATTTCTTAAAAGAGAATGACGCACACTCTAATCGGCATTAAATTAATTAGAAAAAAAAAAACAGTGTTTGAAAAAGTGTCTCTTTTACGTCATTGTTTTGACTGATATCGATTCGACCGAATAAAAACCAGTTTAAATCTACATAATATAAATATGCAAAATTTTTTTCGAAGTTTTACAAAATGCTAAAATCTTCCAAATATTAATATTAAAGAATAGTCAGAATAAGTCAGGAAAGTAAAACGTTTAAATTACATATACACGGAAAATAAAATGATGTTGAATCAACTTACAGCATCAGTTCAATTAAAATATATTTTTTTAATGCAACATCAATATTATTATACTACACACAGCAGATAGTTACTTTGAGAATCTAGACATTAAATTAATCGTATATGCAATTGAATCAATTATTTATTTTTGTGGAAGTTTGTGACGTCGAAGCAACTTTATTTTCTTTTTGCGTGGTTAATATTAACACATAGTGTCGTAATTTTTTTATAATTTTTTAAAAAAGAGATACATGATCATAAAAAAAAAATATATATATACATATACACACTCGTTCAAATGAATATCAAAATATAAGTATTGGTTTTGTGAAAAACTCTTGTCTGGATCTAAAGTTTTATGCCAATGGATAAATATAATGTCGATCAATGATCATTTTTGTTGCAAAATGCAATAGAAAGTACACCGTGATAAACGCCATGTAGTAAAAAATAATATTTTTAAACAAGTTTTAAATGAATAATGTATCTAAAAATTGACAAATACTATATAAAGTTCTTTGATGTAAAGTTTCATTTTTATTTTATCCAGTTATTTTCATATATCGCACATGCGATATGACGTATATTTTCGTAGCAAAGATGTTTAGCAGATATGTGATAAAATTTGCTCTGGCGGATGTGATTATCTCGAGAAGAAAATTAAGAATACAAGATAATGCTAATTTCACAATTGATTTTTTAAGATAACATTTATTTTGACATTTTATATTATAGACACAATCAGTAATTGCAATCATATATACCGCCACAATTATTTACTTATTTATTTTCTACAAATTACAATTTAAATATAATGTACACTTGCATGCACTATACGCTTTTCAAACTTCAGTCATTTAGCCAAAAAAATTGTATACTATAGTAAAAAGATGCACAATAAATTTTTTATATAAACGTTGAAGTTTTGAAAAGTAAATTACAGTGATAACTAGTAATAGTAATAAAAAGTCTTTCTAATTGTGTTTCTAAAGCATAAATAAAACAAATTACACTTCAACTATATAGACATGTATAAAATATAAAATTTCACAAACAGCAATTTTAATACATTTTAAATAAATAAGATATCACTAAAAATGCTAATACAAAAAAAATCCTTCATACATAGACAAATCGAGATAATAAATTACATGAATAAAATATAATTTTATGCAATTATTGTAACACAGATATGTTCACATTTGAAAACATCGACAATATAGTGTGAATTATTAAAATATACAATAATTTAAAACAATTGTTTCGTTCCGTGCTCGATCGATCAATCAAAATCTCTATAGTAACTCAATAGTGCACGTAAAACTAACGTTTACACATTAAAATAGTTGATTAAAATTAGTAGAGTTAAACGACGATTGAATTAAATATGAACGTGTGAACTAAGTATATTTTATAGAACAAGTTTATAATCCAATCAATACCTTGAGTTCCTGAATACTGTTTATATGCTTATTGATTTGAGATAAACGTAATTTTATCTTTTCAAGCAACATCGAAATTCTTTTTTGAAATATGTTTATCTTTCCAAAGTTTAGTGGAATATCCTAAAACATTATATGCGTGACAGTCATTATCTCAAGAAATAATCGAAGCTTAAAATTAATGTTAAAAATTTAAAACTCAATTTAACACCAAATTATATAATAATAACCTTATCAACATATTCTTTAAATTCCTCGAAAAATTGATTCAGATCATTAGGAGCTATATAGTAATACAACACTTCATTCAAAAAGTTCTGAATCTAAAACAATACATATATATCAGCATATTTGTTGTTACTTTAATTATGAATATGTTAACTATATACGAGTTTTTATGATATGCAATATAAAATTTTTATACCGTAATACCGAGATTTATAATTCTATATATCACGCATATGAAGTGTATAATTAAAAAGTTAATAAATTTAAAAAGTTAATAAATTTAATAACAAAGTATGTTTACTATGTTAGTACGATTTCTGGAAGCACGTAATTTACCTTCAAAAGTTGAACGTGAGAGTACACGTGATTAATAATAATACATAATGCCGTACTCGGTTTCATGGCCCTATAAAGAAGAGAATAATAAAATTTATACAATTTTAGTCATACATAACATATAATAATTTTTCATTACAAATATACAATTGTTGTTATTGTTACTACTAAAAAGAGAATCTAGTCATTACCTCGGTTTTGTGAGAAATAAATTTTTTAATATGTCTTCGATATGACTATTTGCGTGTCTCGCAACGAGAGATTGAAACAGAATTGCACGCTCGGAATCTTGTAACGGTAGAACAGTTTCGTATGTTGTGTCATTGAAAAAAGTAGACAGTGTATCATATCGAAAACAAAGAGCGAATTTCAAAAATGCATCTCTAAATTTGTTCTTCAGCTTGTAATTGAGTAGTATTTTATTCAATGTATGCATGCTTCCTTCGACATTTCTCAATCCGTCGCAATAAATCCATTCTTTCCACAGCAACATTTGACTTTTATCCCTTATGCAAAATACAAAAATGCAACAAACAGTCACAGAATAACGTAAGGATTACAATATTTATTCTTCTGTATGAAGTCACTGACAATACGTTTCGGTGTCGTATTAGTCAGAGGAAGACAGAAACGGTACTTTATTGTATAATTAAGTATCATTTCTTTAAAGATATGTACATTGCTTCTCTTTCTCTTTATTAATGAAAGAGTATTTTTTTATATCCGATAATTTTCCAGAATAAATGTTTTCTTTCTCTACAGATATTTAATACTTATTTCTAATACAAAACACGAAAATGTAATATAAAGAATCTTGCGAAAAATACAACAAACACAGTTAATATAAAAAATAATGATTATAATATTTATTCTTACTCTGTTAAATTATTGAGAATTAATTGCAGTGTTGTAGCGGCCTCATGTGCACATGTAACGCTACTAAAAAGACACGACCATTTAATTGCTTCGTATCTTAAACATATTTTAAATAAATCTTCGTCATCTTTGTTGATAAATCCAATTTTTGGAAAAAGTGTATCTATTAGATGCGCCATTTGTTCCTAAGTTGAAATATTAATATATTAATGTGTGTTTTTATGTTGTGCTTAATTACAAATATACCTATATACTTTTGTTTCTTATCAACTATATGTACATATAAATTTATCTGATTATCGCTAAGCATTCTATCTAACGTTATGCAATCTTCACCTTGACAATAACGATTATCTGATCTTCAAATGGAAGAAAACCTGAGATGTCTTCAAATAATCGGATCATTGGGTACCAGGCTTCATACTCCTCTTCTTTCTTCAGGTATGATATGAGTTTAAACCATGTGGAAGATGAAATAGTTTTTTTAACAACAAAGTGATACGCATCATCGATAATTTGAGCGCGGTTAAGAACAGGTATTTTTGTGTATAATGACGAGTTTAGAAACTCTCCGATATTGTCCCAAGTGTCTGAGTAATTGACACGATAATATCCTAGGGACAAGCAAAATAAAATATTATATCGCCAAGACTAATTGTAATATATTATTGCGTTCTGAATAATAAAATAGTACAAATAAACACGCACACGTACACAGTTCTATCTCTTAATGTTACTCACCAGTTTGGTTTACATTCACTATAAGACAACTAGGTTTGAAGTGGCTGTCACACACACGACGCACTGCCAATTTCAGAGGAATTTCTTGTTCTATCCACTGAAAATTATACACTTGTGGCTTATCCCGGAGCTCATCTAAAAGATTAACAGTGACAATGTAAGAAACAGGAATTTGAATTTTTGGATATTTTTCTCTTATGACAAAAGACTCGTCTATATGTAATGTGAAATATAAATATTGTATATCTTCATCTTTTTCTTGTTTCACGCTTAACAAAGGGTAATTTTCTGTTGATGGTATTTTACAGATGCGATCTCTAAAGGTACTCTCATATAATGAAACACTTGGTGCAAGAACTGGCAAACAGGCCCAGAAATTTAAGTCGTTTATAGACCTAAGAAAAAAATCTCAAGTATAATTTTACATCTAAACAATAATCACATTCTAAACCATTATCTACAGATATATATTTATATATTATGAGTATATATAAAAGTATTTATTCACTTATCATTAAAAAAAGAAATATATTATTACTTACTTTTTTCTTAAATATTCCCTTGTGTCACACCAAAATACGTGTCCCAATATATTTTCCAGCAAGCGCAATACAACGGGTACTGCAATATTTTATTATAAAAGTCATTAACATTTTATTTATTAATTTTTTATTAATGTTTTTTATTAATTTGTATTTTATCAATAAAATGCAAATTTTATTGTTTGTTAGTTAACACATTTTCTGAGAAGCAAGCTTTTTTTTACCTTTTTTTATCTTCATATTGAAAATGTTACATATACAATTGTTATAATATTTTTAATAGTTATACCTTTAATGAAGGGCGGTACACGAAAATGCGTAGCATTTAACAAAGTATTTCTTTGTTCTGTAATTGGTTCCATAAGATTATCAACGTCCAAGTGAAGAGAATTGTGTACTGTGTGAACCACAAACCAATTCATTATCTTGGAGGTTTCGTATACCTAAAAAAAAAGCTTTTGATAGTATTATCGTATGTAAATGTGCATTATCAGTCTCGGAATTTTAAAGGGACTGTCATTTTCTGTATTTCTACACATTTTTAGTACATAGAAACATATTGTTCTGAATGTTTACAGACTATTATCGCATGAAGTTTCTGTATAATATGTCTCATAACAAACTAATAATTACAATACAACCGACCTTATCAAGTGCGTAAATGCCAAAAAATTCAGCTACTCCATTTAACCACTGATGAGACCACAACGATGGTTTCATTGATCCAATAAACCATTGCAATGCCATTTGTCGTGCTACAAAGCGATCTATATTTATTTTTCGTGCAACAAAAGATAATGTTTTGTCGTACACAATATCTTCTTGTCTAAAAAATTGGAGATGCACCGATGACAAGTATTTTTTTCACATATAACAAATATTATCTTCAAACATAAAGCACGATGTGTTTCAACGCTTCTGCGTTGCCTGGCAAAGACAAACACGTACCCATTCGCGTAGTGAAAAAACAATTTTGGTTTTTCACTGAACGAAATTTTCTTTTATACCGTTTACTTTGCCAGAAACAAAACTTCTTAAAGTATTTTATCTTATTGTTGTTTAATTCGGAATAAAAAAGTAATAATCTCTATTATATCTTTATTATATGCAATACCTGTGAAGAATAATGCCTGATATCGCAATAGTTTCGTATTGGAAACCAGGGACTGCAATGTAATTAACTCGCGGAACTTTCAATTCACCCAATACGTTTTCTGATCTCAAAAACGACATGACACGTAGAGCAACACGATGTGCTTGCTCTGCATATTCTTTTGTCGACAAAGTGCTGTACCATGTTACGAAATTATCACTCTGATCATGTTCGGGGTAAGGTTTGAAGACTTTGGGAATTACAACGACAGCTATGTCGTGAATAGATATGGGAGGAGTAATGTCGAAGTGCGTCCACACCATGCCAATGTCATCTTTTTCGGAATTTCGTTTCGGCACATTCGAGAGAGCTATCTGAGTTTTGCGATGTCTTATGGAGATGTTAAAAGTGATCTTTAATGCCAGATCGTCCCAATATGGAAACAATCCACGAGCTCCAGTTATCAGAGTGTCTGTTGCAAGAATCCATCTATTTAAATAATAAACAAGAACAATAAAGTGTTAGCATAATTGTTTAACACGATAATATTATTAACAAAAAATTAATCTGTAATAAAAATAAAGCGTCAGTTTTGAGGAAGACTTCAAATGGTTGCTGAGAAAGCAATCATTATAATAAAAATTCATTTTTTATTAAATTTATTTACGGAATTTTTTTTATGTTACTTGTATATATCTTTGCATTTATATCAATAGTATATTGTAAATATAGCTCTGCTAGAGTTAAATCTATCTAAAATCAAATTTTGTCAAATATTCGTGATACGAAAATCATAATTTTTTATTGAACGCAGATTTGACGGCAGATTGGCGGTAGAAACCGAGTATGTAAAACTTAATGACATCTTGCAGCTTAACGAAGTGTGATTTGCTCGGGATTTGATGCCATATTTGCTGTCGTTGATAATGTTTATCATCAAATTTGTTGACAAAACACAAAATTATCTTACGGGTGACCCTCGATCTATTACGAAACATATTCTGCTCGAACTTGTAATCAATTTATTGCACATTGTTAGCTGAGTAAATAACGTAATGTGATAGACGTTATGCGTAAAAAAAAACTAGTTAAATGACATCATTATGCAATTGCGTGAACATGCCGTAAGTTTAGTTTTGTGACATTTAAAATTTATTTTTTCACGATACCTATTATTTTTGTTACTTACAATTCATTTCCCTCATAGTCCGTGAAAGGAATTCTAAAAAGACCTTTGCTCTTATCATTTATGTTTCCGAAAAACTGTAATTTCAAGATATAATTTCCACGTAATAAATCACTGTTGAAATATAAAATAAGAATTCCCGTTGTAATATTGTATTCATGCGATTCTGTTTCATAAACAATATCTTCAGATTTTTGTAGATTTTTTTCAGTTACTTGCGGTTGTTTTTTAATTAATGTAGCATTCTTTAAAATTAGATTTTCCGAGTTTAATGTTATATTTCGTGTCGGTTTGAGAATCTCGATGAAAACATCGCATTCTCCGACAAAAACATCATATTCTGTAGCCGGTGCAAATTTAATGGTAAAATGATGCGGTTTTATATCTTGCGAACTATATGTATCATTCGATGTAGACAATATATGATTCGATGTAGACAATATATTATTCGATGTAGACAATATATTATTCGATGTAGACAATATATTATTCGATGTAGACAATATATTATTCGATGTAGNAGACAATATATTATTCGATGTAGACAATATATTATTCGATGTAGACAATATATTATTCGATGTAGACAATATATTATTCGATGTAGACAATATATATTTCTTGTTATTATTTCTTGTCTTTAATATATATGAAGCTTTAGCAGTTTCTTGAACCGTGATATATAGTATGCCAATGTATAATAACAGTTTTAGGAAAACCATATCAATCGTCATCCTGATTCTTCAAACAGTACCTATTTTTTAAGAGCAAATAAGACAAGATACAAAAAGTAAAATATTTACGCTGAAGTCATATTTCATAAAAAAAGAAAGATTGGAAATTGAATTTACTAGAAACATAAATCAGAATATATTTAACTTCGACATACAAAATTTATAACAATATAGTGACGATTTAGATTTTTTTCTGTCTTTTCTATATGAGAAAAAGCTAATAAATAAATATATTTTGAGTGTACTTACTTTAAACATTGATAGACTTTGTCGCCTGAAATGGTCTTTGTACGTGTAAGTATACTGAAATTATCTCTCCGAAAGATCGGCGAAAACTGAGGATACAATCGATAAAGTACACAACAATACCTTGAAATTTGTGTACGCGACTGTCCTCTAAGAATATCTGACAAATCACGCTACAAACTAATCAAATGTCATATGTAGCGAAGTAGAATACATACTCTCTCTTTTCTAAAGTTTACATAGTTTCTTAAATATTTTTCCTTGTATAATTTGTACACGATTGTTTATCCACAAAGATGTTAGTTTTATTTTTATGATATCTCTCACGAAAATGGTAATATATTACAACACAATACGTTATTAAGTTACTTTAAATTCCTCAATTAAAAAAATGAAATATCACGCAAAACTTATAAGAAATTGAGATCGTCTAAATTGCGTATATGATTTTATATATATATATATAATTATATGTAAAACTGGATATAGAATTTGTCCACGTATGAAGGAACCTTTTTCCCGCAAGAATATAAATTCTGCTATAAACTGCGTACATGTTGTATGATTGCAATTGTGTACATCTGTATTAAATTTATTAAATAAATACATAACATTTCTTACACAGATTGCTAAACTGTAGTTATCAGTATGATTATTTCATTAATAATATATGTGTCCCTATTTTGTGATACATTTTCCTTGTCTCTTTTCATAGTCTTTTTCATCCATTCAATGAAATTTTTAGATTACACAGTATTCCTTATGACATACGCGTGTAGAGTTGAAAAAATAGACGTGTCTTTCTTTTTGTTTTGTCGATGATGCGACATAATCAATACTCTCGAATATTTATTTAATTCTAATATAAAGTCGTAAAAAATAAAAAATATTTTGATCACAATTGCTACGTATATATACATATACACATATACACATACACAGACTATGTTCAGTAAAAATACAATGAATCTTCTACATCTATATAGATAGTTTGTCTCTTATTATACAGAAGAAAATAGTTTATTTTTTACAAACATTTTTGACAAAAATAATATTAAAAAATTCTTTCTCTCTGTTTTACTTTTTTCTGTTGTGTGTATAAATGCTTTTACAATATATAATTGTTGATATTGGTATCTAATATAAAAAAAATATTCGATCAAGCTAATTTTCATTACATACATTATACGATGTTCGATTGTTTGCACAAGAAGGAAGATCACAACACATACCCATATTTCTGAATTCGAAGTTATTTGTTCGTTTATATATATATACATATATGCTAAACCACAAACATTTATAATTGTATTCTTCTAAACTGCCAATAAATTCGCAAGAAAATAAGATATAATACAAATAAAACAAATGCACATAAAAGTGTATTATACAAAAATTAATGTATTTTGATGTATAATATTACATGCTCTTTTTTATTTCAGTGAAGCAGCCACGTTAAAAAAAGCAAGAAAAAAGCATAGCTTTTTTTTACATATATAAAATACATATTATACGCATATCGACCGATATAGTATTTAAAAGATTTTTCCCTTAAATATTTAAAACAATTTATATACCTACAGTAAAAGAAAACCTTATATTTTGTTCAAGCATAAATAATATCGGCGACAAATATTCATATATTTGAAAATAATTATGTTATGGTTCACCGTTATACATCATTCGAAATAAATAAGTGTAATATATATACTTATATAGTATAAAATTCTATTTATAAATAGATATTTTAACTTAACATTTTATTGTTTCTTAACACGTACGTACGCGAAAACAATAATAATATATAAGGAACAGAGATTTATTTTTTTCAATCATACCTTTTCATAGTCTGTTAATTTGCTCTTTTTGTTACTATAAAGATGAAATGACAGATGGAATAAAGGCACTTGCACTACGTAAATTTTTCATATGTCATTCCATCTCTGTACGATAATATATATTCATATATTTATAAATAATAACACCTTTGGAAACAAATATATTCTATAAATTTGTAATATTATACATATATATATATATGCCAGTAATTATATTAAAGCTGCCCAAAAAAATAGTTAAATAATTCGAAAAATTAAGTTTATCACTTATTTTGTATGAAAGTTGAAAATAAAGTTACGAAATAACTAAAAACCAAACAATAAGACTCACTTTCATCACATATAAAAAATCAGATACTTTTTATAAAATGTAATTTTTAAAAATCTGTTCTTTGCTAAATTTTCAAATAATCTCACATATACACACATACATACAGATATAAGTATTTAGGTATAAATAGTTTTTGAATAAATGTTATACACACAGAAACTTACACAATTACTTATGTCATAGATAAAATATTTATTACATTATTATTGTAATAAAATATTGTATTGTTGTAAATTTGGCATAAATTGAACATTTAAAACTTCTCGATATCTTGGCCATCTTAGATTTTATAAAATCAGAAACAAAGAAAATCGTCAAAGTTTTGTGTTCTTTGTGAAAATAAAAAAAATATGTTTGCATAAATGCACATGAAATCAATTGAGCGTACTCTTTTTATTTAACAGCACTTTTTTTATTTAATAAGAAACCACATCAACGTGTAAAAACGCTGCAAAAGCTTTATATTCTTTGATTCGAATTTGCTGACAGAGTTTTGAATTAAAACTATACGATATATTTTACTTTATCGATTCTATGTATGTTTGTACGAAAATACTTGTTTATTTATATTTTAAAAAAGTGCACGAAACTTTTAACTATTTTTCTTAATTTTTTTCGTTTCTAACGTTATAAAATCAAAAATAACACCGCGAGATGTCAAGAAGCCTAACATCTCTAAAGAGACCAACAAATGCACGTACATATCAATTCAACGATATATTTTATCACAATATTTACTTACAAAAACGTTAAATAAAAAACATAAAGATTGATTTTAAAGCGCGATATGTGCTTTTATATTGTGTAACTAAGAATTTTTACATTAAATATTAGAAATTTAAATAAATCAAGAATCAATATGTATAAAATCATTATATAACTAATAAAATATATAAGAAACAAAGAAATTATATTAGAATTTTTTTATTATTGATAATTTTGTGTTCTTCTCTTCAAAGAAAAGCAGTCCTTTCTTCTTGCAAGTCAATTCCTGCAAAGTTTGTGGCTGGATTACATAATTCTGTTACATTATCGAGCGTCTCGCTGCTCACACTTCTCTAGAATCATCTAAGAGAAAAGACATAATCCTCCGTATTCTGTAACTTATAGCGACAATTTTGTTATCATTGTGCAACTATTTTTTTTTTGCGCAAAGATTCTTAATTCAACGAAGATTCGCAACTCACATGCTTGTAACGCATTTATTAAAAGACTACAAAATAAGAGTAGAAAACAAAAATCGCGTTTATAGGACGTCATCACGCCGTAATTCTCGCGTAATTTTCACTACCATAACGATTGTCGTGATGCGAGGCCATGAGTTTTCTTAGTGCGTACAGCAAGCGAAACGCTACATCTTACAATCAAGATAGAATCAAATATATATTATTAACTATTATTTCTTATACTCATATTTTTTATTGAATCTCTGCTTTACGTTGCTGAAAATAATTAATATCATCGCGAGACGTAATAAAACACAAATCTCGAAGAATATGTTTGTAATTTAATATATATTTTCGTCAGATAAAAAATATATTCCTGTAAAGAACTATGTTACAACTGTACGAAAATGTGAAATAATCAGTGTGGTGAAAGAATATCTCGCTCGAAAATATCTATCATTTTTTAGATGCGTGCACGCGATATATATGTATAAAAATTTATAGCTTCTAAAAAGACTACAGACAACTAAGCCACGTTGGTTTGAACGATGAAATAAAGAAAAATGACTATATACATATACGCGAATACATATAAAACTTAATCCAGTTTATCGGAGACCAATGGGAATCTAATGATTCTCAACTGCCGACCGTAGTCGCAAACGACACTGTCTCTTAACGCCAACATCTGTTTTATAAAAATGCAACTGTCTTTATGTCCCAATCTTACTTCTCGCACAGCTTCACCTGTTCTTACGTCCCAAACTACTAATGATCCCTGAAACATTGATAAAAGAAATATTTATGTAGATTTTACAGATGTACAGCGTTATTTTCAGATATACTTTTGAAATTGAGCCAAGCATATAAAAGACTATCGATCATAATACCTGATTGCTAGTTATGAGAAGGTGATGAGTCAGCATCACTAGTTGTAAACTGTAAGCTATTTTATGCGCTGGCAAAGTGTGTAATATGTGTCCCTGAAAACGTTCCCAGACGCACAATCTTTCATCTGTGCCAATACTTATCACATAAGACACCGAACAAGTGATAGCAGCCACAGCACCATCATGGGCCTGAATACTATACATACATGTTCCTGCAAAAAACCATTTTTCGAAGAGTTGTATTTTTTGTAATAACTGCGATAAATTACGAATTGTATTTTTATTGTAAAATTAATAAAATTCTTACCCGTCAAAAGATCCCACACACACAGTAGTCCGTCTTGAGACCCACTTCCGGATGTCATCGGACTTATTCTATCAATGAACAGGCACGATATTGGACCGCAATGTCCATGAAGTGTATATAAAGGCAACTGATCCTCTAACCTGAATAAAAGTATACAAATAATTCTGTGCTATCAAGAAAACGCAAAGTTTGCATTGCGATGCGCATACCTATATACTTTCAAAGTATGATCTTGGCTGCCGGTTAACACACGACCACCTTCGCTATCTAAAACGGTAATCGCTTGCTGATGTGCTCTGTGAGAACCGATTTTCATGCAGCGCAAATCTTCTTCCGACTGCGTACTGTTATTTAGGTCCATAGGCGAACCAGCACTTCCCGTTCGTACATGTGCTGACATAAAACACACAATTTAATATTTAAATAAATATTACTAACACGCACACGATTATCTCATCTGTAATCACTCACGTAAGTACTTACTTCTTCTATAGGAAGTAAAGCCCCAATCAATCTGCTGACCTTCGCTGTAACTTTCTAGTTGCAAAAAGTCTATAGTTCCGTTTAATTTAGCTGCAACTACTCTACTACCAATGAGTCTGATAGCAGAAATTCCAAGTCCCGATCCATCATCAAACAGACACTGAATTAAAAACAAAATATTAAATAATTTATTCACATAATTTTCCTTTATAATTCATCTTCTCGAATTATTCGTGTCTCACCTTAAATCTACTCGTAGTACCCTCCCAGAATTCTAGACTACCGTTAGCGCATCCTACTACCACAAGATTTTCCTGGTAATCCATACACCAAATCGCCGATATACCATGCGACGTTTGTACCGTACGATCCGTATTTATAGAGGACACACTACCGCCTAATTTGTTTAGTTTTCCAGGAGGAACACTTAAATGTTCTCTGATTTCGCACTTCTGCATTTCCTCGATCGATTTATTATGTTCTCTTAATAAAGTTCTGTAACGTTCCCCAAAATCGAAACCTTGATCGTAATTCGTTTGCGAAGGCGTATACTTCAAAGACGAGAATTTAATGTTAATCGCCGGTTTCAGGTCGGGAAGATCATAAGCATTGCCTAAACTTCGACGTAATAACTTTTGCTTATTGTCGCCGCCGAATTCATGGATTTGATAATCATAATCCAAAGTATTTCCTATAGAAATACGTTTTTTATGGTTATTGTTGTTGTTGTTAGTATTGATTCTCTGCACATTGTAGACAGAGGACGACGATTTTCCCTGATATGCCACCGAGGTTGGCGAGTAAAATCCCAACGATTGTGCCGCTTCCATTTCTCCTCTGGAAGGTGGCGAGCCGCTCTCGTAGTCCGACATCAGCTCGTCCGCATCCGGTGACGTTTGGCTCAAATGTTTCTGCGGACCGCTGAAAAATTGCCGCCTGTCGATATGCGCCAACTGTTCACCGGACGTCGAGTCCCAGATTCTGATGTGTCCCGCTAGACACGTGCTGGCAATGGTGTTACCATCCGTCGCGATACATTCTACGTCTTGCGTGTGACCTTCCAAAACTAAAGGCACTGCTTCGAGCATTAACTGAGTAACAGAATCGTGCGTTTTCTCTTTTTGATACCAGCTGGCTCGCCACTCCGCGTAATTCCTAGAGCAGATACAACGGTAGAGCACAACCATTGTGTAAGCAACTACTATCACACTAATAAGACACAGCACAGTAGCCAAAAATATCTCCATTGGACTAGACGGTACAAAAGGCGCGTTTGTATTAAACACGCGTCCTTCTGATCTAGACGGCACTTCCATATCTAAAAATACCGACAAGCATAAAAATCGATAACTAACGTCAAATATTAACTGATTTTATGTGACTTTTTTTACAAACCTGAGAAATCTAAGGGATCGAGCGCAGCGGTAGCGAGACTATGCCACTGGAAATGTTGAACATCATTCGGATTGCTGATTCGTTTTGCTAACTGCGGACTCACAGCATATGATAGTTTTATTGTCGGAAGTATAGTCACCCGTCCACCAGCAATCGACACGTTGTACATCGAGAGAATCGAAGACCAATGATACAGCGACAAGCTATTCCAAGGTGGAAAATTCACGGATCTTAATTTATTCAATTCATCCGTAGTATTATTAGATAGATCCTGAAAAGACATTGGTTGTTTCAAATACATTAAAAGAACAATTAAAAGAAACAGTTTTTTTCTTTATCTAGAGAAGAAGAAATAAACAATTTACTTGGTCATTCGAATTGTCTGGAGCCAGAGTTGCGGGTGTCACGGATATAGGTGTGACCGTATTCAATTCGACATAGTTGCTCATCGATTGAGGTTTCTCTATTGTGTATCCATCAATATCAGCTTCCGATTTTAGTGTTTCGCTGAGATGTATAACATGCTCGATAATGCCGGAATTGTTGATGGTCATGCTGATCCATAAGAGCATAAATATCATAAATGCACGTTGAAAGATCCGTGTTTGCGCCCATAAATATACCAATCTCAAACGTTTGGGGATTTTTTCCAGCGTATGAGTATTTTGCGTATTCGGAGCGATAACGTTCGTCGGACCGGCTGACAAACCGTTCAATCGCGGATGGGACTTAGAACGGAATATTTGCGGTTTTCTGTTGGTAATGGTAGTGGTGAATTGTTGTCTGCGTGATGTGGGAATGTGCGACAAGTGGAACTTCGAATTTTCGCTGGACAGTTCCGTTCGTCTGATGTCGATCGCCAGAATTGTCGAGAAAAATACCATTTGCAGAAAGAAGTCACTCAGCAAGCCAACAATGGCGAATATACAAAATTCTTGAATGGCGGGGACAAAAGTGAATAAACCTATGGTTAAAATCGTTACTTGCATAAGCAGATTTTTTGTTATGGACCATCCCTCTTTCGATAAGGCTTGTGCGACGCGTATTTTCACATCTAATTGCGCGGGTGTGCTGACAACACTCTTGGTCAAAACTTGAACGTTCTCGAGGCCGAAAACAATCACTAAATACGGAAACACTTCTTTGGCATTCATACTAAGAGTTAAACCGAAGAAAAAACATATACCAACGGTCATAGATAGCGAACCCATCACCGTCACAGTAGCACTAAATGCAATGCCGAGTTTAGATTTGACTAACTCTATTTTTCGCACTTGAAAGTATTCATAAAAAAATAAGGCCAAAAACGTCATCATAAGGGGAAAGAATTCACTGTAATTGAATTCACCGGGATAAAACACATTTAGCATTTCGTCTTGTTCTTCTAGGTCTGTAGTATTGTCAATATTTTGATGCAGATGATAATAGGTCCTTAATCGATGTTGAAGTCCTTTTATAAATCTAGAAAAAAGAAAAGAGTATTCATATTGATATTAATTTGAGATACAATATCACATAGAGCATAAATATTTACTTCCGATCATATTCCTTCAAGAAAATGGTTACGGCATATTGCAGAACTCTTTGACGAACACGAATGGGATATCTCTTTACTCCAGTTTCCTTTAAACTCATACCAAACATCACTTCCGCAAGACTTATTTTACTCCTTTGTAGGTTCTGTAGTAGCAAAGAAGAACAAATTAACAACTTTTATAAAATTGGTATCATAAAACAACGTATAAAATAAATAAACTATATAAAATTTTTTATTATCGCATTACATATATGCAATAATTAAGTTAGTTATTTAAAATAGTTTATAAAAAATTCCTGTTTATACACAGAATTATCTTTTTGAAATCATCCATATTTACCTGATACGAAAATATTGTATTTATCAGATTTGTATCTTGAGCAAACAATTCCATGCTTTGTTGCCACAGATTTGCCGGTGATAGAACCAGACAATTATATTCCGGCAAAATCTCTGGTTTCTTGCCATTTCTTTTTTTCACTGCTTCTATATGCAAACATACTTGACCAAGTGTTTTTGATCTAAAAATCAGAAATATATAGTTTTTCTTGGCTATTTTGTGCATTGTACAACCAGTATATGTATATACTTACGTTTCTGGATGTTGATAGTTCTGTATAATTTCCAAGAGATTGAACACTTCATATAAAGGCCCCCTGAAGGCATCCATCAATGACAGATCCTCCATCCATGGCATTACTCCACTTCTTAGTACCACTTGTTGTACATACAATACTGAAGTTTCTGTGCCATTTACAGGTAGAATAGTGTTGTTTATTGTAGTTTTTGGAGTATTTCCAGGCATAGGTAAGTTAACAAGCGGACAGCTGCAAACATAGAAAATATTTAATTTTTCACTAGATATTTGAAAAAGATTTATTAAATATATTTGTACTGTTCCAAGTGAGATACATGACTCACCAACATACTAGCAAAACTGCAATTGCTAGGGAGGTTACAATAACTGGATGTGAGGAACAGAATAGGCCGTGGGCATAATAGAGCCCAGCCACTCTGTCCGGCAAGCTGCGAGACATTTCGTTTACCTTTGCCTTCTGCGCGACATCCTTTGATTATGGATAACCATATTCGCAAATGACCTAGCAACATCCAATAGCGCTCATATCGTCAATAATACGTGACGTACGACACTGTAAAAACGAGATAGGTTAGGAAAAACAAGACAAAAAGGCGACACTTTTTTTTTTTGTTTTTTTCAAGTTTATCACTGTCATTACGCAACTGGCGTATATCATGCAGATTTAACTAGTTGTTGTGCGACCATCAAAACATTGACGACAAGCCGGTTTTACTAACGCAGCAAAACAATAAAAAATACTTCATCATTTTATATAGGCGTACCTGTATTTCACTCGCAATATACACCGACAACTACATCATCAATATTCTTCTCGATGTGCTGATCCGAAAAAAAGAACCGAAGGTTGACGATGACGATCTGTCTCTGACCAAATATCGATCTGACGTGCGTTCTATGGCGCATTAAAATTTCCTAGATCGCAAATGATCTCACCCGCCGACGATACGCATCTTTATTGGTCCCCTTCGATTTTGCGAGAACGTGTGATCGCGGCACGAAGCGTAGAGTCCAAACAGATCGGAGTAAAAAAAAAAGCTCGTTACGTACATACATAGGTATACGTAATAACGCGAGGCACACACATTAAGCCTTGAAGGTTGTCGGAGGTTATGTTCGTCGTTCGTTCTTCTCTTGACTCGCACTTAAAACTTGTCGGAGTTTGTTGTTGAGGTTACACGCGTAGAATAGTGATCGATTTCACGACGCACTTGGACGAATCGCGCTCCCATGTGATGTGTTGTCAGACCGGTTCGTCATCAATCTCGCGGCTCGAACGAACAAACGTACGAGCGAATACGCGGCGAAGATATACTTGTTTTAAATAACGATGAGGAAACACTTTGGACTTTATCTCGCTATTTCAGTTCGCGCGCGTTATATATGCATTCCATAATATTCTAAAACGTGACACGCGATAAATCGTCAGACACACTTCACACAGTCGCCGACACTTCGGTCCGGCTCCTATTCTAGAGAGTGCACTGGCCGATTCAATTTAACTCAGCGCGCTCCGTCTCTCTCCGTGCACACAGAGAGACGAATCATTAATTTATTTTTAAACGGCAGGAGAGAGCCGTCGTCGTCGAGCCCTCGCCAGGCGACCAATCACAGGTGCATAAATTTGCAAATTGGGTAATAGAGCACGTTGCCGAATCGACGAAATGCACGTGGCCGAAAAAACCGGAAACCGCACAGATGTAAGACACACACCGTAATAAACATATTACGTGACGCACGCGAAGAAAAAAAAATATCGCTCTTCAAAAGAAGTTTTATTTCCCGCGACCAACCGTGACTGCACGCCGATATGTGTGTGTGTGTGCAGTTAGCTAATCCGCGATTCGGTCGCATGCATAATCGAGAGCGTACGAATGTCGGGAAAAAGTTTACTTTTTTACATAATAAAAGAGACCTCACAAACTATATTTTAAAGATTGAGAGTCTGACGTTTTATACTTGCAAAATAAGACGCCGGATTTGAAAGTACGTCGAAAAATCCATGTCGCGCGAAAATGTTGGTCCTAGTAAAACAACCATTTGTAAAACAACTTTTCTCCATTTTGATAAAATATATGAACAATGAATTTCTAATGAGAAATGAAAACGTCGAATAAAGTAAAATTGCAATTTTCATGACGTGCGGTAAAAGAATGATGACACTGATATATGTTCTGATATAGACTTTAGAATTTATTGCTTGTATTAAAAAAAAAAAAATTAAATAAAAAATTTATTCTCAAGCTCTGCACAAACTGTTTGCTGCACTCTGTTTTGTATCATTTGAATGTATGTAAAAACAAGTCAGACACTGCTGCACATTTACACATTTTTTCTCTTTAGAATTGCTAAATCTTATCTGCTGTATTATTTATCTATTATAATATTATATAATACGCTTGAAAAGTTTAAGAATGCTGAAAAGCGTGAATAAAGTTACATTACGATATAATACAAACGAAAGAAATTAATTTTGACAAGAGACATTACGTAAATGATTTCATTCCAAGAAAGAACATCAATTTTCAGTAATATATTCCACGTGCACACACGCACACACAATACCTATCTAGAAAAAAATCTTAAATATGTAAAAGAGTATGTTACTTTTATCCGGCTACTTATCTTATTTAATATACAATATTGTTTGTTAGTTTCTTTTTTTTATGAAATGATATTTAAAGAATGTGTTTTTGCGAAGTTACAAGTTGCAAATTTGAATACTTTTTCAAGACGTCAAAAACCTGTTCTTGACATTAAGTTTTTATTTCACACGTTGTGTTTTGCTAGCGGCAAAAAATGAGCATGATTTATTATGAAAAAAAAAAACAAACAAAAACTGTTATAAACATTATTTAAACGCAATAATTTGAAAAAAAAAAGATATTCAAGGATTAGATTTATATTTCAAGTTTTTATTTAAAGCTTGTCTCATTTTATTTTCGACGCGTCATTGTAGGAGTAGCGGTGGTCACCGCAAAATGTCGTTTTCAAAAACATAATTAAACATTATATGTAACTCCACCATTTCGTAATATAAATTTCTGATGTTTAATTCGCAGCGAGGAATTCTCCGGCAAAATCTCTTTCATGACACGTAGAAGAGGCGCTTTTTTCCCGCCACTTTACGACATCCTCGAGAGAGCTCCACGTTTCTTTTTGGTTTTATAACGGCTGGCGAGCCATTAATATCATACGCCATTCTTTGTTTTTTGAAGTGAAACAAATCGGATATAGAAGTGAACCTCTACAAGTTTAGTTGGATCAGGTTTCGACTGGTGAATTAATTAAAAAAAAACAGTATATACACCTGTCTGTAGTCGTCCATGTCGTCGCTTGATTTCAGTCAAACGGAAAACTGGTACGTTTGACGTGGCAAAGTCTTTGACTGTCATTTCGTAATTTAATAAAATTTTATTTTCAAATAAAAGAAACTACGATCTTCGAAATGAAACAAACAACTTCAATATTCCTTTGTCGTTTTTTCGCAAAAAATTCGCGAATGTAGACTTCGAGAGATAGTTTTTTGACCCCTATCTAGGTATGTCCCTTCCTTTACTTCTAGTCACTAGTTACGGTCAATCGTCAATCTCGCGCGCAAGATCTCGCGATTGACGTGTCTAATTGCATCAATTGCGTAATAAATAGAAATTAGGCTGCTGTAAATGGCCAGTATCGCTCAGAGGTCAATCGTCTGCAAACGTGCACACGATTTTTGAGCGTGCGTCTGCACACGTGAAACATGTTTCTCTTATGAAAGAGAGAGAGAGAGAAATAGAAAAAGAGAGAGAAAGAAAGAAAATTGCTAATAATAAGAATTTAAAAAATATCTAAGTTGAACATTGATGTGTACAAACATCTTATATGATCTATTCAATAATCAAATAATTACATATTTTTTAAATATATATTTTTTAAAATTATTTTATCTAATCTGTCGAAATAAAAAAAAAAAAAAAAGAGTTGTTGGATATCTGTTTTTGTACTCGCACGATTTTCGCACAATTCGTAAATTCTACTGATTTTTAACACGTCGAGTAAAACGTAAGGCGAAAAACACGCGCGTTTTTAAAATCTTTATTTGCATATTTTACATAAACTTTCCAAAACTATAGATAATCTGTAATAGGATAATTATATATACATGCCAAGGAGATGGTTGATAAGACAAACGGAGTCATGCACATTTGTATGTACGTCAGTGTTGTACATTGAGAAACTAACGACGCTTCTTTCACAGAACGACCTTGACCATTGAATATTCACACATAGTAGTAAAGATATGAGAACTATACATATGTACATATACGTTCCCAGATTTCTGTTGTCACCACAGTTAAGCGCAGTTCACATATCGATACTGAAATTTTTACAAACATGACCGATGACCGATTCTTATTTTTTTGTACTAATGCCCTCAGTGATAAAAATTTGTTGCTATCTTAGGCGAAGATAAGATTTTGCTCCAATTCATTTCTCATACATATTATCATATTTATTTCTCGCTTCTGACATCATAACTCGAACGTAGCTGCGAAAATATCCAGGAGCATTAACACGCGTTTTTTATTAGAAAATTTGTGAAAACTCGTGTTGTCACCGTTCAAACGCTCAAATGTCTTTGGAAAAATCTGTGCGCTTTATATACCGTTCTTTTTTCTTTAATAGAGACTTTTTCTGCAAAAGGATTTTAGCCATTGCACTTAAATTACGTCGAAGCCTGCGGTAATTAATTACACTCGTACATTAAGACCATATTGTGCAATTATGTTAAGTGATCGTTACGTAAAGTCGTAACGTCATAACGTTACATTTATCGTTAAAGTCTTCGAGGGATCTCGTTGGCGGCTTTCATTATAACGGTAAACCAGTAAAATTTTATACTGCTTTCTCAGCGCCCGGTCCCGTCCTCAGATAACGGAGACGATATTCGCGCAGGCACAAGTGCGCTTTTATATACGTATATATACACATATAATATGAGAGCTATATATGAAGCAAATGAAGCTTATAATAAAATTGCTCCGATAAATATTAATGATATCGTGTTGCGCCGGCTGCTGTTAGTTAAGCGCCACTATATAGTTATTCGCTTGTCTAACTCCGTTGATGAAATCGAGAGACAGAGGGGTTCGGGTTAAACTATAAACGCGAATTTAATCTTCGTCTGCGAAGTTTGCCGGACGTTTATAGTCTTCTTCTTTTTTTCACATAATCGATTTCTCATCAAGTCATAATTGCTAGCTAAATTACAATAATAAATCTCTACAGCAAAACATAAAAGAAAGTTATTCGCGTCTTCTTGTATATATATTCCGTTGCGTTACCGTTTCTATTTTAATCGATTCGATGATCGCAACCAATCGCTTTTGACAGTCTGCCAAGAATATTGGATATTTGACTTTTTAATACGTACGTACGTACTGGAAAACACATGTGAGAATAAAAATAGCGTCATCCAAGATACATGTGCTAATAGCTCTTATGTTTTTCTCGGAAAAGCATACTTATCACGAGTGCAAATACGCTATGTACACACCTATATTAAATCTTAAATACTCGGGTATTAAATCGGAGCTTCTGGGGCGCAGGATGTTCCGCTAGAATATCCCAACTGAGGGAATACGAGAGAGGGAGAGAGAGAGTGAGTGGCATTAATCTTATATTAATTTCAAAGTACGGTCCGTGCATTTCTCCGTAGAAACTCGCCTTCTCCGGTGACGCGGACACATCTGTCTTCCCCGTGATTTTCTCCGACGACTTTCGCCCCAAAACCTTTTCCCTACCCTTGGTGTGTATATTCGACTCGCGTCCCTCGCTCGCACGTCCTTCTAATCGAAATTGATGCAACGGCGTCTCCGCGAGATGATGGATGGCGGTGTCGACGAAGAGCGGAGATTCGAGAAGCCGGACGTTCTTGCAAATTATTTTTCTGGCTTCGACGAAGCCCAGAGAGTGGGAGAAAAGTTAGACCAGTTGAAACTTTTACTCCAGAGTTGTTTTTAATTCGTATATATCTTTGTTTTCCGAGCTGTGAAAAGATAAAAGAGACGCTTTAACACAGGTTGCAATATTTTCGACATTTAGTTTTATAACACCACACCACCAGTTTTAAACTCTCTAATAGATTCTCCGAAGAAAAAAACTCGTCGGAAAACCAATTTAACCCTCGAGCTTAAACTGTAGCCAATATTTACGGAAAGGTTGCTTGACGCTAAAAATACGTGTGCTGATAAACGCGGCGCGCGAACTTTGTCGAAAAAAATGCCTCGTGGCGAGCTTAATTTCCGGCACGTGAATCGACTCGCCGAAGATCGATGCGCGGTACGCGATGTACGCGAGGAGGAGAGGAAGAGGGCCGCGATATTACGAAACCGCCTTCAGAGAAGTTTGATAAGCTCCCGGAGCTCCCGACGCTTGATGGAGTGGACTTATACGTCTTCGGCGTTTTGCACGGGGAAACGATCCGCCAAACGAAACAGCGCGTATGTCTCTATTCGCTTCTCGAGACAGAAACGAAACCGAGAATAAGTAAAGAAAGAAAAGAGAGAGAGAGAGAGAGAGAAAATTTATGTGTGAGTGCGTGTGTATGTGTGGATGGTGGTGGTTCGTTTATCGTGCGGCCAGAATGGCAATTTATCTTACCGACAAGACGGACCGAAGGTACCAGTCCTTCGGATATAAATGACGCTGCTCCTCGCGAAAGATCTTCTTCG